GATAAAAGGGAGGCAGGCACACTGCCAGCATGGTTCCTGCTTTGACCAGTGTGGGTCACGTGACAGTTCTTGCTCTGGTGGGAGGGTCAGGGCAGCTGTCCCTCTGCAGCTTGTTTTTGTGGGAGGGCCTCTGGGAAGGGGCATGCTGCAGCTGTGACCACAATTGTCAGGTGAATGTGTGAGTCCACCTCTGCTCACTACCAAAGCCTGATTCAGGATGAGCCCAGGCGTCTGTCTCTGCAGCCCCCATTGTATCACACAGGATTGGGCGGAGGATGCCTGGCACAATGTGTTCTGAGTGGTTCTGGTGAACCAGAGCAGGAGAGAGAGGGAGGTCAGAGGTCTTCCGTAACCATCAATAAACGTCTTGGGAGTGCCCGTCCACCCTGGGTTGCTGAGGACCGAGGACTGACTCTCAGCGATGTGTCAGGACAGCTGTGGGTGATCTGAGATGAGCTGGAGGCTCATGAATAGCTCAGCTACTTAATGACTGGAGCCAGAAATGTCAGGCCACCGAGTGAACGTCTCTTGCCTGTATCCCTGCCTCCTTACCGCCTTTCTTTCTTTTTCTTTTCCCTGATGACATTAAGAGTCTATCAATAGATTCCTTTTCATCTTGGAATTGTACGTGCATAGTTATAACAGTTATCCATGATGATAAACTTGGAAACTTCATAAAAATATGTTTTAAAATTCATTTATTTATTTGAAAGAGGTGGGGATAGAGCTAGAGATAAATAGATGATTGACAGGTAGAAAGAGATTGATAGTCTACCTGTTGGTTCACTCCCCAGACAGCCAAAAGGCCAAAGACAGGAGCCTGGAACTTCATTTAGGTCTCCAAGTGGATGGCAGGGACTCAAGTACTTGGGCTGTTATTTGCTTCCTCTCAGGTGCATTAGCAGGAAGCTGTATCAGAAGCACAGGGCAGCCTGGACTCAGCCAGGCACTGTGATATGGGATGCAAGTGTCCTGCCCGCCACTCAGCTTGCTGCACTGCAGTGCTTGCCCCCATAGCAATCTTTTTGTATTTTAGTTTTTCCCATCTTAGCTCACTCCCTAACCCTCCAGTACATTTTTTTTAAGAGAGACAGAGAGAGAGAGAGAGAGAGTCCTTCACCGCTGCTTTTTCATTCCCCAGATGGCTAAAACGGACAGAACTGTGCCGATCCAAAGCCGGGAGCTAAGAGCTTCTTCCAGATCTCCTACATAGGTGCAGGAGCCCATGGACTTGGGCCATCGTCTACTGCTTTCTCAGGCCGTAGCAGAGAGCTGGATCAGAAGTGGAGCAGGAGCCGGTGCTGTGGCATACTGGTAATGCTTTGGTCCTCAGTGCTGGCATCCCGTATGGGCGACGGTTCTTGCTGCACTTCCAATCCAGCTCAATGCTATGGCCTGGGAAAGCAGTAGAAGATGGCCCAAGTCCTTGGGCCCCTGCACACACTTGGGAGACCTGCAAGAAACTCATGGCTCCTAGCTTGAGATCGCTGCAGCTCCGGCTATTGTGGCCATCTAAGGGATGAGCTAGCAGATGGGAGACTTCTCTCTCTTTCTCTCTCTCTCTCTCTCCCTCTCTCTCTCTCTCTTCCTCTGCCTCTCAAATAAATCTTTATGGAAAAAAAGAAAGAAGTGGAGCAGCTGGGCCAGGACTATAACCGGTGCCTGTAAGAGATGCCGGCACTGCAAACCCGGGCTTTAACCTGCTGCACCACAGCGCTGGCCCACCCCAGTATAATCTTAAATAGAATGATTTAGTGCAACTCTTTGTGTTCTTGATATTTCACAATTAAATATGATGCTTTCTCTCTATTTTGGAGATTCTTTTCATAGAACAATGAGACTTTCATTTCTTATTTTCTAAGGTACTCTATCTTGAAAATGTGTTGAAACTTATGAAAAGCTCTTTCAATTTTTTTGCAGATTGAGATAATGTGATGTACTTCTTAATTGTTCAGTGAATGTGACATTCAAATGTTTATAACTTCTGAGAATGATTCAATGTGTTTTTTAATTTTTTTATTTATTTATTTTTTGACAGGCAGAGTGGACAGTGAGAGAGAGAGACAGAAAGGTCTTCCTTTGCTGTTGGTTCACCCCACAATGGCCGCTCCAGCGGCACGCTGCACCGGTGCACCATACTGATCTGAAGCCAAGAGCCAGGTGCTTCTCCTGGTCTCCCATGCGGGTGCAGGGCCCAAGCACTTGGGCCATCCTCCACTGCACTCCCTGGCCACAGCAGAGAGCTGGACTGGAAGAGGAGCAACCAGGACAGAATCCAGCGCCCCAACCGGGACTAGAACCTGGTGGTGTGCCGGCGCAGCAGGCAGAAGATTACCCTAGTGAGCTGTGGCGCCGGCCCAGTGTGGTTTTGATTGTAGGTTTATGACACTGAATATGTCTCCCATATGTTGTATTTTATTTTCTTTAAAGATTTATTTTATTTATTTATTTGAAAGAGCTATAGAGAGAGGAAGAGATCAGAGAGACACAGAGAGAGCTCAGCTCTTCCAGCCCCTGGCCTAGTCGCCAAATAGCCACAACGGCCGGGGCTTGTCGATCTGAAGCCAGGAGCCAGGAGCTTCCCTCGGGGGTCCCCCACGTGGGTGCAAGGGCCCAAATACCTGGGCCATCCTCCACTGCCTTGCCAGGTGCATTAGCAGGGAGCTGGATCAGAAGTAGAGCAGCCTGGAATAGAACAAGCAAGCGCCCACGTGGGGTCCCAGCACTGGCACTGCAGACAGTGGCTCAACCTGCTGCGCCACGGTGCTGACCCCCCCAATCTGTTGTTGAGGATATGTGCTGAATTGCAGCCCAGACATGTGTAGTTCCAAAAAAGAGTAGGGTGGTCAATCTTCCTGTCCCTACAGTATATCCCCCACATCCACTAAAATACAGAATTCTGACTATGGCAAGATTCCCACTCTCCCATGACTCAATAGGACCTTCATGTGGCTCCAGTGTTGGTACTGCTGAAGGCAAATTCATGCCCCCTAAGTGCACTACTCGTGTTACTGCAGGCAGTGGGCTTGGGGAGCAGCAATTCTTTTGTTTCTTTTTTTTTAGAAGATTCATTTATTTACTTGAAAGTCAGAGTTACACAGAAAGAGGAAAGGCAGAGAGAGAGAGAGAGGTCTTCCACCCACTGGTTCACTCCACAATTGGCCTCAATGGACAGAGCTGTGCCAATCTGAAGCCAGGAGCCAGGAGCTTCTTCTGGGTCTCCCATGCAGGTGCAGGGGCCCAAGCACTTGGGCCATCTTCTACTGCTTTCTCAGGCCATAGTAGAGAGCTGGATCAGAAGAGGAGCAGCCAGGATTAGAACCGGTGCCCATATGGGATGCTGGTGCTTCAGGCCAGGGCGTTAACCCGCTGAGCCACAGCGCCGGCCCCTGAGTGCTTTTCAATAGGTGCATGAGTCCCATGAGTCCATTTCTGGGGGAAATTCCAAGGGACGCTTGCGGTCCAGTTGCTGAGCTTTGTTCCACTCCTGGGACACACGACCAAGTCCAGAGCCGTTTGCTGAGCTGGGTGCTAGGTCATCTTACGATAGGATGGTGTTATTCCAGATAACATGGGTGAGGAATTATCTTTAATCCTCAGCTCAAAATGTTAGAAGGGAAATTTGGTTTAAGAATCAACTAAGGTTACTGAAGAGATCCTGGTTGGGAGTCGGTGATTGGCAAAGTGTGAGGAATCAGCTGGAAACATCGGATTATCAACAGATCAACAAATACAGAAAATTTGAGAGCACTCATAATGTGTGAATACTCACCTATGCTCTGAGGGTCACACTCACACTTAGAGAGATTGAAGAGGAAGCTCTGAGTGACATATGGATAGAATTAGATTTGCATGTCATGCCATATCATAGTTGAATCTTGAATGTTATGATAGAATGGACAATAAAGGGATTTTTAATGATTTATTTACTTATTTGAAAGAGTTACAAAGAGGCGAGAGAGAGAGGGAGAAAGAGAGAGAGAAAGAGAGAAAGAGAGGTCTTCCATCCTCTGGTTCACTCCCCAAATGGCCAAAATGGCTGGAGCTGAGCTGATCTGAAGTCAGGAGCCAGGAGCTTCTTCCAGGTCTCCCACACAGGTGCAGGGGCCCAAGCACTTGAGCCATCTTCTGCTGCTTTCCCAGGCCATAGCAGAGAGCTGGATGGGAAGTGGAACAGCTGGGACTCAAACCAGGTGTCCATATGTGATACCAGCACTGAGGACCCTGGTATTACCCCATATGCCACAGCGCCATCCCCCAAAAAAGAATTTACACTCACATATCAGAAGTCTCCCAATGTGGTCACCATTCTCAAGAGCCATGGATCAGACAAACAGGAGAGAGATTGAATCCCTTGGAAAGTGGAACTTATAGTAACATAAATAAGAGCGGAGCCTTTTCATGCAAAGGAAATTTCAAGAGAAAGAATGACTTGGAGATGAGCAGAATTTACTCAATTCCAGGCATGGATTTTGTCCACTTGCGTGTGCATGCCTGAGAAGGAGTTGGGTGGTGGTCATGCACACTGGGATCAGGGGAGGGACATGGGGAGCTGTGGGCAGTGCCCAGCTGGGCCCGACACTGGGCACCGATGATGCTCCCTGAGCGGCCTCCCTCCTTGCAGGAGACAGCGTGCTTTCTCCTGAGCGCCTGAGACGTCAGCAAACAGTAGAGCATTATTTCCATACTGGGATAAACGGAAGACTGGCACACTGGGGTTGGCTAGTATAGAAATGAAAGCAACATCCGAAAGGTATTGACACAGAGTGCAGAACGCAGAGCACTGGCGCCCTGGTGGGAGTGGAAGACCGTGCCGCAGCTGTGGAAACCCACATGTAAACACGTGGGCATGCAAACAGAAATGCCAAAGACCCGGACATTCAGTCACTCTTCACCCCTGGAATGGAAATCAGGATCTTAGAGGTATTAGCACCTTTGGGTCCACGGCAGCACTGTACACAGAGCCAAGATGTGGATGCAGATCGAATGTCCACTGAGAGGTGAATGGTGTATTAACTGTGGTACCTACCTGTCATGGACGTCACTCAGCGCCAAAGGAAGGAAGTGCCCCCATTCCCACGCCACACACAAATTCAAGGTCTTTACGCCAATAAAGCTGCACACAGACAAAACCTACATGAGAGCACTCACGTGATGACTCTCAAAGGTGAAGCTCTGGGGCCAGCGCTGTGGTGCAGTGATTTAAAGCCCCAGCAGGCAGTGCCGCCATCCCATATGGATGCTGGTTCTAGTCCTGGCTGCTCCACTTCCAATCCAGCTCTCTGCTATGGCCTGGGACAGCAATGGAAGATGGCCCAAGTCCTTGGGCCCCCGCACCTGCATGGGAGACCTGGGGGAAGCTCCTGGCTCCTGGCTTTGGATCGGTACAGCTTTGGCTGTTGCAGCCATCTGGGGAGTGAACCAGTGGATGGGAAAACTCTCTCTCTCTCTCCCTCTCTCGCTCTACTTCTCTCTGTAACTCTTTCAAATAAACAAAATAAATCTAAAAAGAAAGAAAGAAAGAAAGAAAGAAAGAAAGAAAGAAAGAAAGAAAGAAAGAAAGAAAGAAAGAAAGAAAGTGAAGCTCATGTGAGGAGAGAATGGAGCGGAGGCTCCCCGGCTGCCAGCAGGAGCACACAGCGGCTGGGAGACGGGGATGTAAACTTCGCCGGTGCAGGATGAGCAAGTGCTGGAGCTGTGCTGTGCAGCCTGTTTCCTGCGGTGGACGAGGCGATGATAACCAAAAACGCTCGCAGGGAACTATGAAGCAAGAGCAGGTGCGCACACCAGCGGCTGTGATGCTCGGGCTCACATTCTGAATCTGAGTGAAATTCCCAGCTCCTGCCCCTGATGCCAGCTTCCTGCTAATGCAGACACTGGAAGGCAGTGGCGCTGGCTACAGGCAGTGAGCTCCTGCTGCACAGGCGTGTGCCTGGCATTCAGAGGCCAACTGAACCAGGGCTAGGATCTCTTCTCCCTCTGCCTCTCTCCGTCTTGCTACTTCTCAGAGGAATACCTAAAGTTTAAAAGACACTTAGCATTGGAGGATGCATTTGAAGTGTTCCTATCATGGTAAAACAAAGAAACACAACACAGAATGATAATGGAGAATTTTTAAATGATTTATTGAACCGCTTGCATCGAGGAAAACTCAAAGAGGGCAGGAAACGAGAAAACAGAAGAGAAGAACACTGAGTACAATCAGAAAAAGAACACACGATTAAAGACTGTTGATCAGTTGCGGAAAACTATGAAATTTTTGTGAAGATACATTTTCCTAACTTACTCAGAGGGAGGGGTGCTGAATGAGCTCAGAATTTCAGCTCCGTAACAAAGATTTCCGAGATTGGTTCATGAACCACACAACACAGAGACAAGGAGCAGCAGGACAAAGCATACACTGCGCAGCCTTAGCTGATTCAGAAGCTTTGGAAAGATAAACAGGTCACAGAGGGGTTGGTGATCACAGGCTGTTTTCCAGCAAGGGCGGGAAGTGAATTTGTTGAGGCCGTCAAGTCAGGAGACCGAGGGTGCTTGTGGAAATGATGGTCTTTTGAGGATCTGCTCAGCAGCAGGAGGGCCGGCAGCAGCTGGGCTCACAGCAGGACGGGCGGCAGCAGGGCTGGCAGCAGCTGGGCAGGCAGACGCACGTGGGGTGGTAGCAGGTTCTGGTGCAGTAGACGGGCGTGCAGCTGCCGGCCTGGCCGCAGGGGTCGCTGCAGCAGCTGGGGCGGCAGCAGGACTGGCAGCAGCTGGGCTGGCAGCAGCTGGCCACGCAGCAGCTGGGCTGGCAGCAGGGGGTGCGGCGGCAGCTGGTCACGCAGCTGGGCTGGAAGGTGGTCCTGCAGCAGCTGGTCTGGCAGCACGTGGGGCGGCAGCAGCTGGGCTGGCAGCAGCTGGGCTGGCAGCAGGGGGCGCTGCTGCAGCAGCTGGACACGCAGGCTGGCTTCCAGCAGGTGGTCCTGCAGTGGGTGGTGCTGTAGCAGGGGGGCGGGCAGCAGGGGGAGCAGCAGGAGTTGGTCATGGTGTTGGTGGGGAGGGTGGGCTTCTCTTCACAGGTGAGTTTCCCAGAATATGATGGTGCTGTGTGCTCTGGGCCTTTTATACCCCGGGCCTCCAGTGTTTGGGCCAATGAGCAGCCATCTTCCTTGTTGTTTATGTTGTGCTGTGTGGTCAGTTTGGGACATTCAGGGAGGAAGCTGCTCTCTAAATGCTGTGAGTCTTCTGAAAGTGTTTAATTTGTCTCCTAATTGAGAATAAGTCACGGCACCAGGGTTTGAGATAAAAGGGAGGCGGGCACACCACCAGCATGGTTCCTGCTCAGCATTGTTCCTGCTTTGATCATCGTCTGGGCACGTGGTGGTTCTGCTGGCCTGCGAGGGTTAGGGAGCTCTCGCTGCCTCCCTTACTCCTTTGGCTGTGTGGGCAGGGAAGGGCTCAGTGACACACGGAGCACCTGGATTCCACTCTGCTCTCCCACAAGGCTAGCCCAGGCACCTGTCTCTGAACAACCTGGGGAGAGCATGTTTGGCACGCTGTGTTGCACATGGCCATGAGGAACCACAGCGGTGGCAGAGCAGAGGCACCCACTGGGGTGTAGTCAAGCCTCCTTCTAGGGACCAGTAGTCCCCCTAGTTGAGGGGCTTCATCCGTTGCGGCACATGGCCTGACACAGCTGGGGAGGCTTGGGGCTTCCTCCAGGTAGCTGTAGCCTTAACCTGTGTCTCCCATGGCTGTGTCTCTCATAGTCTTTCTTCGCTCCCTTTTAATGAAAGAATTAGTTTAGAGGAGATGACCCTTGAGGCATCTGGGATTTCTAAATGTTCCAGTTTCTTTTGAGATACTCACTCACTTTAATCTTATTTGTAAGGATAAATTTTATTTAGGAATAGATTTAAATTTATAAAATAAAAATTGCGAGGTCATGCACAAAGAGTTCCCACACTCCCCTCACCCACCTCCCCATTACTGACGTCTCCCATTAGTGCATTTGTCACAGTTAGTGCACTGTTAGTTCACTCTTAGTGAATGGTGTGCAGCTTCCATTACTTTTTAATCCAAACTCCACTTATTCCTTCCACCCTCCTGGCCCCTAAAGCCCTCAAATTATTAACTCCTGACCTGCTGGATAATTACAAATCAAATCAGGTCCTAATCCTTTCAAATCATAACCCTTCACTCATCTTCTAATGCAGATAATCAGTCTATTGATTTGCAATGCTGTTGTTCTGTTTTGATTGCTTTTAAACATTAGATAGTTGAAACACCATGGAGCTGAACTGGCTACTTTATCTTCACATGATTTTGAGATATTAATCCTGTAGTTCATTCATTCCCACTGCTATATAATCCTCCACTGAATGAATATGATGCACTTGATTTTTTTTCTTTTTATTTTTTTGACAGGCAGAGTGGACAGTGAGAGAAAGAGACAGAGAGAAAGGTCTTCCTTTTGCCGTTGGTTCACCCTCCAATGGCTGCTGTGGCCGGCGCACTGCGCCGATCTGATGGCAGGAGCCAGGTGCTTATCCTGGTCTCCCATGGGGTGCAGGGCCCAAATACTTGGGCCATCCTCCACTGCACTTCCTGGCCACAGCAGAGAGCTGACCTGGAAGAGGGGCAACCGGGACAGAATCCGGCACCCTGACCGGGACTAGAACCCGGTGTGCCGGCGCCGCAAGGCGGAGGATTAGCCTAGTGAGCCGCGGTGCCAGTGACACAATTGATTTTTTCACTCTACTGCTAATATACACAAAGGTTGTTTCTAGCTTGACGCTGTTGAACTATTAAAAATGGTTCTCCTCTGAACATTTTGGTAGAGGTATTTTGGTAAACATATATAACCATTTCTGTTTGCTAAATTCTATCAGGGAGTAGAATTGCTCATCAATTTTTATTCTGTTCTCCATAAAAGTCTTGCTCATCTTTCATTAGATTTCCCCCCAGGCATTTTATTTATTTATGTTACAAGTGTATTGTAATTAAAGTACTTAATTTTTAACTGGTATATGAAAAAAATCATTCATGTATATTAATTTTTATTGACTCCATGGTTATTTCTAATACATTGTTGTAAATAGGATTTCTTTAAGGAACTTCCACACGCACAGCCATGTCATTTCATGTATAAATCATAATAGCTTCATTTATTTTACAGCAGTGTTTTCCTCTGGTACGACCTGAGCACAACAGGATGGTGTGGACATCTTTATATATTCTCAATACAACAGGGTGTTTCACAATTAGACATGATTCTTTCTTTTTCTAGTAACTTTTCATCATAGGAGCTAGGGTTTTCCTATTTAATATCTTCAGAGATATATATTCACTTACATTCTGTTTTGAAAGCATGCTGAAATTTACAACATGTATGTTATTATGCATTGAAATGTCATTATTATTGTAGATCTTTTTCAGTTAATATGATTAAAAGCATTAATTAATGTTCCAATGTGGTTCTGATCATATGTATGTGGAACCATGCTTGATTTCTTTGTATCTTGTTTAGGATATATTGCATCCTGCAAATTTAACCTGCTGTTCTCATTCAACTTCCTTTATCTTTTCTAAAAAAGCACTCAGCTCTCGATATGTGTGGATTCCCCACTGTCCTGTGACCCAGGTTGGCCCTGATGTGACTTCCTGTATTGATATTTCTGAAGGTGATTTTATGCTCCATGAAATACACTAAACATGCTAGCACATGGAGGGCAATAGTTCTCTTTTCAACAGACACACTGAAATAGCTCATGGCCCCAGTAGAGCAAAACTATGCAAAAACACTTTGCTTTAGTTTGGATGGGGCGTGGTTCCCAATGATCCATGTGCTGGAAGCTTGTTCCCAGCGTGGCCGGGTGAAGGTGGAGGGAATTGTATCCGAATGTTTGATTATTCATTTACGATTTTCATCTACTTGTAAGGCAGAAGGACAGAGAGATATAGATACGCACAGAGAATCAGAGAGAGAGAGAGCGCGAGAGAGTGAGAGAGCGCTTCATCCACTGGTGCACATCCCAAATGCCCACAGTCATCAGGGCTGGGACAGGTGGAAGCCAGGAGTCCAGAACTCTGTGAGGGTCTTCTACGTGGATGGCAGGGCCCAAGCACCTGAACCACCCTCTGCTGCCTCCCAGGAGGTATCAGCAGGAAGCTGGATGGAAAGCAGAGCAATCGGGATCCCAACCGGCACTGCGTAAGGGACGAGGGCAACCCAGGCATGGCTGACCCACGGCGCCACAATGAACTCTCCAAGAAGAAGCCTTCCAATGCTCAGGCCTACTGGGAAGTAATCAGGTCCTGGGTTCCGTGCTCATGATGGAGTCATCTGTCTCTAGGGAGTGGGCCAGGTCTTGGGGGACTGCATTAGTTCCCACGAGAGCAGGTTGTTATAAACCAGCAAGGGTTTCTTGGCTTGGGCTCCTGCGTCCCCTCTTGCCGTGCAGTCCTTTGCGCATGACTGCTTCCCTTTCCATTCCTCTGCCATGGTGACAGGCCACCAGGATCATGAGCCGGCCAAACCGTTCCCTTTATAAACCACCCAGTCTCAGGTATTCTGTTACAGCAACAGAGAATGGGCTGAGACACAGAGTAACTTCAAGGCTGATTTACTCTTGCCTGACTGAGGTTTTTGAAGAATGGAAGTGTGCTTCTTCAATGAGAGCTGGGTGGTTAACCCCAGAAGTTTAGATCAAGGAGAGGCACAGGTGCAAAGGTTGGCAGTGCCCTGCCAAGCCCCACGTAGCAAAGAGGGGCACTGGAACCTGGAGTCTTCCTGTCCCGTAGGCAAGGCATGATTTTGACATGAATGTGTGGGATTACGCTGAACATCCTATTGTTCTAACTTCTGATTATTTGCTTAGAAAATAACCTCTTCGGGCTGGTCCTGTGGCATAGCTGGTAAAGCTGCCACCAGTGGTGCTGGCATCCCATATGGGCGCCAGTTCAAGTCCCAGCTGCTCCACTTTCGATCCAGCATTCTGCTATGGCCTGGGAGAGCAGAAGATGGCCCAAGTCCTTGGGCCCCTGCACCCGCGTGTGATACCTGGAAGAAGCTCCTGGCTCCTGGCTTCAGGTCAGCTCAGCTCTGGCTGTTGTGGCCGTTTGGGAAGTGAACCAGTGGATGGAAGACTTCTCTCTCTCTCTCTCTCTCTCTCTCTCTCTCTCTCTCTGCCTCTCTGTAGCCCTGCCTTTCAAATAAATAGATACATCTTTTTAAAAAAAGAGAAGAAAATAAACTCCTTGCCTTTATTTGGCTTTCCTTTTAGTATTTGTGCATAGAAAAATAATTTGTTAAGAAGAGTATGAGAAATTCACTTGTGACACTTGATATTGTGATTAATAAGTAGGCATATTTGTTTTATGGGGATGCATACATTTGTTATGTACCCAAAGGAGTTCATCTTTTTTGAGGCAAAAAAGATAGGATTTTTGAGTCTGCAAGATGCTGGTCCACAATCTGCATTTTTAAAAAATATTATTTCTTCTGGTGACACTGGCATCCCCTTTGGGTATTGACTCAAGTCTCAGCTGTTCTACTTCTGATCCAGCTCCCTGCTAATACACCTGGGAAAGCAGAGGAAGACGGCCCAAGTGCTTGGGCCCTTGCACTTGTGGGAGACCTGGGAGAAGCTCTTGGCTCCCAGTCTGGCTTTGGTCTGATGTAGCCCTGGCTGTTGAAGCCATTTGGGGAGTGAACTAGCAGGTGGGAGATCTCTCTCTCCCTCTCTCTCTGTAATTCTGCCTTTGAAACAAATAAAATAAATCTTACAAAAATATTTCTTTGAGTAGTTGTAGGCTTCAGTGAATGACGGTAGTATTAGCAGTTAGTCAGTGGTGCTGGTTGAGCAAGACAGCGGCAGAGATTTGGTGACGCAAGATGCCATTAGGGCACCCTGTTACAGGTCACTCACTGGGGAGGAAAATCCACAATACAATATCTGATATCTGCCAAGTGTCATTTAGCTAACAGATACCACTTCCTGCCTGCAGGCGGCCTGTTCTGTTTTGGGACACCTCTGCTCAAGCGAAAGGTTTTGGGAGCACCTGTCTGTTCTGCTCCTTCTTCACGTTGTCATAGTCCCTCCTGCCTTAGATGTCTTGTCTCCTGACAGCCCTTCCTGTAAAATCACATTTGCAATGTGGCACAGTAGGTAAAGGCACCACCTATGACACAGGCATCCCATATGAGCACCAGGTTGAGTTCTGGCTGCTTCACTTCCGATCCAACTCCCTGCTGATGTGCCTGTGAGAGCAGCAGAGGGCGACCCAAGTGCTCAGGCCCTTGCCACCCATGTGGGAGACCCAGGTGGAGTTCCTGGCTGCTGGCTTCTGCCTGGTGCAGCCCTGACTATTGTGGGCATTTGGGATGTGAACCAGTGAATGGAAAATCTCTCTCTCCCCTCTCTCTCTCCTCCCCTCATTCTCCCTCCTTCTCTCTTGTCTTTCAAATAAATAATGAATCTTCAAGTAAAATAAAATCAATCACAGCCATTCTCCCCTGATCTCTAACGTGGCTTCCTGCTCATGGCTCTGCTGGATGTGCCCATGTCCCTTTGGGCTGTGTGCATTTTAAAATGCTCATTCCTGCACATTCCCCAAAGCCTTAGTCATTGCCTTTGTTTACTGCATATTTATTGTTAGGTTCCAAGTAAATATTCTTAAATTATCCGATTCCAATTTGGTGGTGGTGCTTCCAGGAACCAGCAGACTACTGGCCATTATTCCTGAAGACTTCTCTGTGCCAGTTTTGCATGGATGCTTCCATTTTGCACCATGCACGCTCCATACTAAGCTCACTGAGACACGGCACATCTCTGACGTGATCACCAACCACAGTGCTTTGTTGCAGAAGGAAAAGACAACGTGGAAGCCATGGTCACACCAGAGGGTCCTCAATTCTTGTTCTGAACACTGGCTGTGTGTTTGGGGACAATAGAAAAAAAATACTTATTACTGCGTGAGTAGTTTCGCACATACATTGCTTTGTCTTTCTTTGTGAATACTTCTCTCTTCCCAGCTTCCATGCTACGTGGATTAATTTGCAAGTGTTTTGCTTTTTTCCTTTCCCCTTCCCTTTCCTGGGCTGGTCAGTGTGCCGGCAGACACCCTCTCCGAGAAACCACAAGTCTCATATTTTTAAGGGGTATCTGAGAAAAAAATCTGATTAATCATCTTTATTTCTGATAAGGAATAGCTTCAGCTTCCTTTCTCCTTCCATAGTCTGGGATTTTTCCTCTTTTGTTTACCTTTGTATCTTTGATTGAACACAAGTTATACTCAAATGTATAAATTATCCACCTTCAGATCAAAGCATTAATGAGAAGCAACAGTACATCTGTGGAGTGTGGCAGGGTTGGCTTCCTGCAACGCTGAATGGATGATGCGGCATGGTGTTGGGTCGGGGGATTGAGTCTGATTAGGAAGCCCATGTCCCATTATCAGAGTGCCTGCGTTCAGATCCCGCCTCTCTGCTTGACTGCAGATTCCCGGCACTGGCTCCCTCTCACCTGGGCTGCTCGGCTGGATGTGCGGTTTGTCGGCAGCTCACCAGGGTGGCATCCCCCACGGACATGAACCAACCCACACGGAGCAGGGCGACTACCCCAGGCTACACCACTGGGAAAGGCGGCATTCATCCTTCCTGGACTTGATTCATGTTTTCACATAACTTTGCCTCCTCAAGTTAGGAGAAGCCATGGTATCCACTTGTCCTAACATAGATCGCAAGATCTAGAAATGAGTCACCTGACACAGTTGGAGTAACCTGTTTGATGTGCATTAAAGGGGTCAACTTAGAGGTGGCTGCAGGGTTGACAGATTGTCATCTGGATGTGTTATATAGCCTGGTCCAATGGCCATTCTGTGATTCACATAGTAGGTCCCACACATATCCACAGTAGGTGGTATGCATGAGTTCAGAAATCAGTGGGCAGAAGTAGGAGTGACACATTGCAGATTCCACCCCCATGGCAGCAGGCTCTACTGGGTTGAAGCTCTGTTCCCATGAAAGGGACATTACTTTTCCTTTTAAAATGTTTTCTTTATCTTTATTTATTTATATGGAGAGAGAGAGAGAGAGAGAGAGAGAGAGATAGATCTTTCATCCAATGGCTCATTCTATCATAAAGCTGAAATAGCCAGGGCTGGGCGAGGCCAAAGTCAGCAGCCAGGAACTCAATCTGGGTCACCACACGATCAGTAGGGTTCCAACTGCTCAACCTGCCCCTCCCAGAGTGCGCCCTAGCAGGAAGCTGGAATCTGGAAAGGAGCCAGGGCTCCAACCCAGGCAATGGGATATTGAATGCAGGCATCCCGAATGCCACCTTCATGACCAGGTCAAATGCCCACCCCGGAAAGGAATATCTCTATCGTGGGATATAATCAAGTTATAGCTGTCACCTGGGTCTTTTGGACTCCTCATGGCAGTAAACAAGTTGGCAGAGAAAAGAGTTACTGTTCAGTGAGATATAATTATCAAAGAAGTAGGATGTCTGGAGAATTATATCTGAAATTCAGGAAATTCACCGGAGCGTCTCATGGTTGTGTCTGTGCTAAGAACCACAGGTGAGGAATGATGGCAATCACAGCCGGGCAAGGGCATGGCGACAGAGGACTCTCTCCTTGGTTTGAGATGTAAGTGCCTTTGAGCAGGCACAATAGACTCAATCCTGGATCTAGTCTATCCATTCATAGCTACATGATATTGTACAAGGAAATGTTTTTATCTGAAAAAAAATGCTGGCAATCATTCCTGGTGGGCTATTAGAAGGTTCCAAACGGCTAATGTATATATGAATAGTATGCAATATGCATTTAAGGTTCTATATCAGGAAGTACCATACAATGAAACAAAAACAGAATCTTGGATGAAAGATACTTTTGAATTTATTAAGAAATACACAGGTAAGAAGCTCTGTTACTCAGGAGATCACACAAAGTGATGATGGAAAGAAGGCAGGATACAAGAAACACAAGTACCTTGAGAAAGTAAGCATGATTGTGAAGATTGTAGATCAGTTAGAGAAATCTATGAGTGAAGATCTCGACTGAAAACTCAGCTGAGACCCGAACTCCAAATTGAGTCTACAGGAAGATGCCATGGGAAGAAGAGAATCAGGGTGAGGTACTTAGCACTCCATGGAGCTGATTCACAGAGTAACAAATTTCAGTGAGAGCGTGTTGGTGGTCAGAAAAGCAGGAAATGAATTTGTTTCTCAAATGGTGAGTCGGTGCTGTGTGATGACCATGGTCTTTTGAGGATCTGCTCAGCAGCAGGAGGGCTGGCAGCAGCTGGGCTCACAGCAGGACGGGCGGCAGCAGGGCTGGCAGCAGCTGGGCAGGCAGACGCACGTGGGGTGGTAGCAGGTTCTGGTGCAGTAGACAGGCGTGCAGCTGCCGGACTGGCCACAGGGGTCGCTGCAGCAGCTGGGGCGGCAGCAGGACTGGCAGCAGCTGGGCTGGCAGCAGCTGGCCACGCAGCAGCTGGGCTGGCAGCAGGGGGTGCGGCGGCAGCTGGTCACACAGCTGGGCTGGAAGGTGGTCCTGCAGCAGCTGGTCTGGCAGCACGTGGGGCGGCAGCAGCTGGGCTGGCAGCAGGGGGCGCTGCTGCAGCAGCTGGACACGCAGGCTGGCTTCCAGCAGGTGGTCCTGCAGTGGGTGGTGCTGTAGCAGGGGGGCGGGCAGCAGGGGGAGCAGCAGGAGTTGGTCATGGTGTTGGTGGGGAGGGTGGGCTTACTTCACAGGTGAGTTTCCCAGAATATGATGGTGCTGTGTGCTCTGGGCCTTTTATACCCTGGGCCTCCAGAGTTTGGGCCAATGAGCAGTGCTTTTCCTTGTTTTTTGTTGTTTTCATAGTCACTGAGGCACTGTTAAGACAGAAATTGTTCAATTATCATTTTGGAGTTTCTGAAAATTAGTGTTCTAGTCTTTTTCTTAATTGGGTGTACTATTTCAGAACCTTTCCTGGAATGAGAAAGGCAGGGGTCATCATTAGCATAATTTCCTCTCATGTGATCGTATCTGGTCATGGGAAGCTCCCATGGGCTGGAGGTGGGTCTGGATAGTTGTTGCACCTGGAGCTTTTTCCTGCACCTGTGCTTAGGCTGGGAATTGCCACGAGAGTTCAGATTCTGTTGAATTTGTTCTCTGACGAATTGAAACTTTGCTTGTTTCCAAGTCTGATCCCCTAGAAAAGACTGATTGAAGGCTGCAGCAGGTTATCTGTATCCATGGCAATCTACTCTTCACATTGTTCAGGTCATCAGGGATACTTGTAGCATGGATGTTTGGTCCTGCAGTTAAGACACGTGTGCCCCACATTCCAGTACCTGGGTTTGATTCCTGGCTTGGGCTCCTGACTCCAGCTTCCTGGTGATGCAGAAGTAATGGGGTTCCTACCATCCATGTGGGAATGAGTTCTTGGCTCCTGGCTTTGGCTCTGGCTCAGCCCTGGCTGTTGCAGGCATTTGGGAAGTGAATCAGGAGACATGAGCTCTCTGTCTCCCTCTCTTGTCTCTTTGTCTCTACCTCAGTGTGCACATGCTACTTAAATAAATCAATATTTTTAAAACTAACTTGGGTAGAAGTTGTTTTATTCTCATTTGTAAGTCAGCACCAAAGCAAGAGGACAGAGGCAGAGGCAGGACTGGATTCGGAAAGCATCACCGCGTTGCTGTCCACTCTGCTGCACAGCTGGCTCAGCGGCCTCAGGTGGGTATCCTGGCTTGTACCCACTCACATGCAGAAATAGCGTTGGTGACACTCCAGGTGTTCCTGAACCTGTAAATTCAGATAGTTCAATACATGGGGGGAACTGGCCACAATTTCTCATTGTTTTCTTTTTTGTGTATATGTGTAGGAGTTATAGGGACAATGTATAGCTAAAATGTATAGGAAAAAAAGCACACAACAGTGTTTCAATTTTTCGCTACCAGCAGCATCTCCTGAGGACTCTAATATTATGAGCTGTCCGTATTCTGCTGGTATGGATTCACACTTTAAACTTGCATTGTTGCTGATTAGTGCATAGTAGACACCTGTTGCTTTTGTTCTTTTTCTTTGAGGTGCCTATTCCAGTATTATACCTATATTTTTTCTTGAGTGTCTACTTCTCTTTGATTTTATAGATTTTTGATATCCGTTTTGGATATATGATCAATAAATCTATACATCATCTATCTGTATGGGTTTATTATATATATAGTTATTGTTAGGTATTTTTGTAATATATATTTTTCTATCTACCTATCAGTTATATATGTTACAAATATTTTATTTCATTTTGTATCATCTTGCCTTTCCATTCTCTTAATGTTATATTTTCATAAGTAATTTTTAATATATTTATTTATTTAGAGATAGAGTTACAGACAGAGAGGGAGAGACAGAGAGGAAGGTCTTCCATCCACTGGTTCACCCCCCAAATGGTCTCAATGGCCAGAGCTGGATCTGAAGCCAGGAGCCAGGAGCTTCTTCTGGGTCTCCCATGTGGGTGCAGACACCTGAGCCATCTTTCACTGCTTTCCCAGGCCCTAAGCAGAGAGCTGGATTGGAGGAGGAGCAGCTGGGACAAGAACCAGTGTCTACATGGGATGCCAGCGCCGCAGGCGGAGGCTTAGCCTGCTACGCCACAGCACCAGCCCCAGTAAATTCTTACTTTGAATATTTAATACATTCAATGTCCTGTGAATCCACCATTCCTTAATTTGATATATTGAGTCTTGTTGAACAAACCTGTAACTAGTCCAATATTATGAAGATGTTCTCCAATCTCTTTTAAACACTGTATTGTCTTTACATCTCAAATACAGCTTTAGTTGCTTTTATATAGTTGTGTGTGTGTGTGTGTGTGTGTGTGTGTGGGTGTGGGTAGACAGCGCTAATGACAAGGGCAGGATTCTGCTGCATTTGTCCTGCAATGAATGAAATCCCCCGTACACCTGGGTGTGAGCCTTATTTTCTTATTTCTTTGCAAGCCACATTTTTTTTTTTTGGTTGAGGACTGGCCATTGAAAACAACATAACGTGACACATCTGGAAATCAGAGTCTTCCCTGGGGTTTGCAGATATCTGTCTGTTTCTCAACTAAGCCTGGTAAGTCTCGATTCTTTGTCATGTGTGGTCCCTAAAATCCCTGCTTGGTCAGCTAATGATTAGTTGGAGACTTTATTAAAACTACTTAACCAATCCCATCTTCCAGCACTGCGCAGGGGCTCTGAGCAGTGCGGGGGGGGGGGAGGGTGGGGGGAGCATGCCCTCAGCGCACAGCCGCACAGTTGTCAGCTCCGCCCCAGCTGTGTATATCTTCAGGGCTCAAAGGAGAAAGCGTAGTCGTCTGGGATATTCCTTCAGGATGTCCATGGTGACTTCCAAGCGCATGGCCTCCCTGATTTCCAGGAATGTCAGAGCTCATTAACCTCATTCTGCAGCTTTTCCTTTCCAGGTTTTGGTTTAGCTTATTGTTTCTCCACCTGCATCCACTCCCTCTGGGCGGCTGTGATGTGAAACAGTCTCCTCTGATTGTTTACACAAACAATGCCAGGAAAAAGGCTTCTCACACTTAGTCATCTCTGAGTCTGCTCCAACAAAGGTAGCTTTGCAAGAGAGTTGCAGGGAAACCACCAGGTAGGACAGATGAGGACAGTTCTTAAGGAGTGCGCTTAGAGGGAGCTCACTCTGCCCTGCCCTCCTGGCCGCTGTGAGGCTGCTGTTTGCCGAATGTTTCAAACCTTTGATTAAGTCCCAAGTTTTCAAAAAGCTGATTCTGATCATTTTAACCAGTGTTCTCATTGCTTTCAGGGAGGAGACAATGTTTGGAAGTCCTTACCATTCTCAGTCATGCCAACTCTATTTTTAAAGAACTTTTTTTTTTTTTAAAAATCAGAATAAAAGGTTCCTTTCAATTCTACTCTTTTAAATCATGCAAAAGTGTATTTAAAGACTTAGAAAGCTTTATGTGCATGTAAATTAAGAAAAACAAAAATTTTGTCTATTCTCTCTCTCTTTTTTTAAAGATTTATTTATTTATTTATTTATTTATTTATTTTAATGTCAGAGTTACATAGAGAGAGAGAAAGAGAGGCAGAGAAAGAGAGATCTTCCATTCACTGGTTCACTCCCCAGTTGGCCTCAATGGCCAGAGTTGTGCCAATCCGAAGGCAGGAGCCAGGAGCTTCTTCTGGGTCTCCCACATGGGTGCAGGGGCCCAAGGACTTGGGCCATCTTCCACTGCTTTCCCAGGCCACAGCAGAGAGCTGGATCAGAAGTGGAGCAGCCGGGGCTTGAACCAGCGCCCATATGGGATGCTGGTGCTTCAGGCCAGGGCTTTAACCCGCTGTGCCACAGCGTCAGCTCCCATCTATTCTCTTCTGTTAGGTGATAAATTGCATCAAATGACTTTCAAAGATTAAAACAATCTTCTCTGTGTTGCTGTTAGAGATCATGGAAACTGGCTTAGTTTAATTGCTTTCTGTAGATAGGATTGTCCATGTCAGTATTTGGTTTAGGAAGTTTGTATCCCTGCAGTTTTCATGAATGTATTTTCTTCTCAAACTCCATTCTTGACACAGCTTGTCAAGCTTGGTATCAAAAATAAACTGGAACCATAAGACAAGTTGGACATTATTCTCTCTTTTTATAGTTGTCTATAAAAGAGTTTAAGATTTTATGATGTATTCCTGAATATTTTGTGTTTGATAAAAGCACACTAGTGGGAGCAACCGGTGCTTGTATGATGTGTACCTGTGTGGGCGGGCAGTGAAAAAGAGAATCCCATTTAAAATATTGACTACATTTCATGAGTTGATATAAAAGTCTTGAGATTGTCTGCTTCTCAGGTGAGTACTGTTAAGTTTTTGTCCTAGGAAATTAAATTACCTATTTTGCATATGTTTAAATTTTTTGGCTTAAACTTTTTTTGAAGATTGCAAATGAACTGGTAAAGCCACTATGTAAGTCTGTCTGGAGATTCCTCAGAAACCTGAATATAACCCTACCATTCAACCCAGCCATCCCACTCCTTGGAATTTATCCAAAAGAAATTAAATTGGCAAACACAAAAGCTGTCTGCATCTTAATGTTTATTGCAGCTCAATTCATAATAGCTAAGACCTGGAATCAACCCAAATGCCCATCAACAGTAGACTGGATAAAGAAATTATGGGATATGTACTCTATAGAATACTATACAGCAGTAAAAAACAATGAAATCCGGTCATCTGCAACAAAATGGAGGAATCTGAAAAACATTATGCTCAGTGAAATAAGCCAGTCCCAAAGGGACAAATATCATATGTTCTTCCTGATCGGTGACAACTGACTGAACACCAAAAAGGAAACCTGTTGAAGTGAAATGAACACTATGAGAAACAGTGACTTGATCAGCCCTTGCCCTGACTGTTGATGAACAACTTAATACATTATCCCTCTTAGTATTTTTTTGTTCTACTTCATACTATTGGTTGAATTCTGTAATTAATACACAGTTATTCTTAAGTGTTGAAACTTAACTGAAAAGTGATCCCTGTTAAATGTAAGAGTGGGAATAAGAGAGGGAGGAGATGTACAATTGGGGGCAAGCTCAAGCTGACTTGTCCCAAATGGTGGAGTTAGAAATGTGCCAGGGGATTCCAATTCAATCTCATCAAGGTGGCATGTACCAATGTCATCTCACTAGTCCGAGTGATCAATTTCTGTTCACAATTGATCATAATGATAGGACTAGGAGTCAAAGGGATCACATAAACAAGACTAGTGTCCGCAAATACTAACCGATAGAATAAAAAAAAGGAGAGAATGATCCAACATGGGAAGCAGGATACACAGCAGACTCATAGAATGGCAGATGTCCTAAACAGCACTCTGGCCTCAGAATCAGCCCTTAAGGCATGTGGATCCGGCTGAAAAGCCCATGAGAGTATTTCAGGCATGGAAAGCCAAGACACTCTGGTGAAAAAAACAAAAACAAAAACAAAAACAAAACCAACCCTAAATGAAAGATCTCCGTGAGTGAGATCCCAGGGAAAGAACAGGGCCATCAAAGAAGGAGGTACCTTTCTCTGAAGGGAGGAGAGAACTTCCACTTTGACTACAACCTTGTCTAAATATGATCAGAGTCGGTGAACTCAAAAGGTTTCCATAGCCTTGGCAACTCATGACAAGAGCCTAGGGTGATTACTGATGCCATAAACAAGAGAGTCAATTTGTTAAGTCAACAACAGGAGTCACTGTGCACTTACTCCTCATGTAGGATCTCTGTCCTTAATGTGCTGTACCTTGTGATTTAATGCTATAACTAGTACTCAAATAGTTTTTTTCACTTTGTGTTTCTATGTGGGTGCAAACTGTTGAAATCTTTACTTAATATATACTAAATCGATCTTATGTATATAAAGATAATTGGAAATGAATCTTGATGTGAATGAAAGGGGAGAGGGAGCGGGAAAGGGGAGGGTTGTGGGTGGGAGGGAAGTTATGGGGGGGGGAAGCCATTGTAATCCATAAGGTGTACTTTGGAAATTTATATTCATTAAATAAAAGTTAAAAAAAAGATTGCAAATGAAAATTTAATCATGTTATCCTTCCATAAGATGCCCAATGGTTTCTATTATTTTATTTTATTTTATTTAAAAATTTATATAAGGGGAACAAATTTCATGTATTTTGTATGCACAGTTTTAAGAGTATGATGATGCTTCCTCCCTGTCTCCCATCTCCCCACCTCCTTCCTTTCTTATTTTTCTTTTAATTTTTACAATAACATACTTTGAATTTACTTTATAATCCTGTGCTTCACACTGCACTCAATAAAGGATTCCACAGGCATAAACTTTTCATAACCGCCTGTTATGTTTTTGACACTTTAGGATCTATAGTCACAATTTCATACATGATACCAGTTGTGGCTCCTACTCTCTCTCCTTGTATCACGTCATCAGGGTTTACTTACTTTATTGTTTCATTTTTATAGAATCAGCTCTAATCAAAAGCAGTGCAGCAGTAAGAGTGACTCGGAACCCTCCAAGTTTGGTAAAGAAGGTTGCTCACCTACACTCGTGAATCCGTGACACCAAATCCTGCCCGGCGGTTGTCTGGCTACCCTGAAGTCTGAATTCAGAAGCTCAGAGTTAGGCATATTAAAGGTTATTTTCCTATTAAACTCCATCAACTCCGAGCCTTCTATGCATTTTCCTCCTGCGTGGGATCTCTTGTGACCACACTGTCAGAGCAGCAGTTTTTGCCTGGTTTCCATTCACGAACCATCTTTGCTCCCTGTGCTTATTCAGAGGAAGTTCGGTTTGTGTCCTGCCTCCCCCAGCATGGAACACGTCTTCCCCCGTGTGTGGCATGCGCCGGCATGGCTGTCACGGACCTCATGGTTACTTGGCCCCCAAGTTCCTTTTCACGGATTTGCCACCTGCATGTTCTCTCTCTTGTTACAATCAAGCCTGGAATAGTTTCCTAGATGCTTAAGATCTTCCTACGTGCTGTTCCAACAGAGTGCAGTGCCCATGAACGATGCAGTGCCTTCACTCCTGCCGCCTCTTGTCCCTCTCCTGCCATCCCAAGGGCTGCTTTGAGGTCACAGCACCTGTCTTCTGCAGTGACAATCCTCCATTGCGGTCTCCCAATCCATCTCACCATAAGCTCCACGTGTTCTCCAAGGCAGACGGGACAGACGGGGGCATAAGGATCTGGGGCCTGGGACTCTGAATCTGCTAAAAATTCATCTAGATGTTCTCCCACTCAGCAGCAAGAGTTCATGCACAAATTATGTAACATAAGCAAGCCCTCTTCTAGTTGGTTTCTTTGATAACATTTTGGCTTCCCTCCATCTCATACAAGCTGGTTTTGTTAGTAGTGGATCTTTGGGGTTCATCTGGAAGATGTCTCTCTAATTTCTTGTCTCCAGCATCCCACCATAAGGCCAAATCTGGTTTATCTTCTACCCTTCTATGAGCATATATTTTCTTTTTATGTTCTTTCTCAGCAAAGCTAATATGGACTAGTACCTTGTGATCCTGTTTCCCATTCTATCCCTTGCACAACAACCACAGTGACTTCAACACTTCCTAGTTGTTGAATAAGATGGCTTTTGAAGCAAAGATTGTAAACTCCTAGTCTCTTTCTCTCTCTCTCTCTCTCTCTCTCTCTCTCTCTCTCTCTCTCTTGCTTGCTCTCCCCACTCCCACCCCAATCATGAGACACAGGTGAAAACATCCAATCACTCATTTTGATGTGCAAGACTTTGTGGTCTAGAGCAGCCACTTTGATCTCCTCTGGTGCTTCACAAATAAGGCATGTGAGTGGGAACAGATTGGTTCTGAGGAGCCTACCAAGCTCTTTACAGGCTGTGCAGCTGTGCAAGTTGGTGCACGTCCCATGACATCCTGGAGAGCCGTGCACCCCTGCTCTAAAGCAGGTGCAGGAAGATGGCCTTCCCAGGCCTGTTTGAGAGTGAGGTGCTGCATGCGACACACAGAACTCAGTGCCTACCAGGTGCACAGTGAATGCTGACAAATAACCCGGTGCCAGGGCTCAGAGGTTGGATCAGCTGGCAAACTCTTCAGAGGCCGCCAGCACCACAGGGCTCCCACCTGACCAGGGGATGCCCTGCTGCTCCCAGAGGCCTCAGTGGCCAGCACAAGTCCACGTGCTGCCGTGTGTGAGTTCAGCGTTGAGTCCTTCAGAACATCCACGCCCCATCTCTCACTGTTGCACTTATATCCATGGTGGTGTCTGGTGGCGGGCAGCTCCCTCTCATTTCCCCATGCCCTGTGCACAGACAGCTGGCCCACGTGTCCTGCCAGAGGAGCTGCGGCCAGTCAAAGCACACGTCTCCCCAGTGCTCCCTTTGGTCACTTGCAGTGACATGGAAAGTAGCACGAAGCTAAAAGAAGAAGAGCAAAGTAGTGGACCAGGTGGCATTGAGCCCATCATTCTTCTCATGCACAGGTTGCCAAAGGTGCTCTTGGCTGTGACCCTCTTTTGTGGTTATCATGAGGCTGGGGAGGGTTTGCAGAAGTGAACAAGAGGAGGGAATGAAGCTCTTAGGGAAGAAACAGTAAAGAAACAAAAACAAAATTCAGGGAAACACGTGCAGGTTTATTAGGAAAATCAAAGGAGGGGGCAGAATTTGTAACTAGGAAGATGATTTAAAGTGGACACAGAGGTACAAGAAGAGGCCCCAGGGAGAAGCACTGCCTCGAGGAGACGTTTCTGTCTCAACACTGAGGAGAGTCATGGTGAAAAGCCACTGGATTTTGATTTTTTGCTTGTGGCTTCAGATGGCTCGTGGGGAAAGGGTGGAGATTATTTTTCTACATCTAAGAACGTGACTCAAACTCAAGAACAGGTCAAGTGGACCAGGAGCTGGAGAACCGATCAACACAGAAAGAAAAGCAAAGCAGATGCAAAAGGCTGCACTTCATCAAACTGACTCGCAAGACTCGTTAGAAGAAGACAACCAAGACACAGCTGGATGACAAGAGAGCCAGGCGCGTGACTTGTGTTGCAGGCACAGGGTTTGTTCTCAGAAGGCTGGGCTGTGGCAGGTGGTAGGATCAGCAGCAGGAGGGCTGGCAGCAGGGCTGGCAGCAGCTGGGCAGGCAGACGCACGTGGGGTGGTAGCAGGTTCTGGTGCAGTAGACGGGCGTGCAGCTGCCGGCCTGGCCGCAGGGGTCGCTGCAGCAGCTGGGGCGGCAGCAGGACTGGCAGCAGCTGGGCTGGCAGCAGCTGGCCACGCAGCAGCTGGGCTGGCAGCAGGGGGTGCGGCGGCAGCTGGTCACACAGCTGGGCTGGAAGGTGGTCCTGCAGCAGCTGGTCTGGCAGCACGTGGGGCGGCAGCAGCTGGACTGGCAGCAGCTGGGCTGGCAGCAGGGGGTGCTGCTGCAGCAGCTGGACACGCAGGCTGGCTTCCAGCAGGTGGTCCTGCAGTGGGTGGTGCTGTAGCAGGGGGGCGGGCAGCAGGGGGAGCAGCAGGAGTTGGTCATGGTGTTGGTGGGGAGGGTGGGCTTACTTCACAGGTGAGTTTCCCAGAATATGATGGTGCTGTGTGCTCTGGGCCTTTTATACCCTGGACCTCCAGTGTTTGGGCCAATGAGCAGCCGTCTTCCTTGGTGTTTGTTTGCTACAGGGAAATGCTCCAAGGAGGAAGTTGTTCCCTACGTATTATAAATCTTTTGAAAATTATGCTTCCGGCAGTTAATTGTGGATAATTTCTCGGGGATATTTCTAGAAACAATCATCAGCATCATTGTCCTCTGATCACTGTCTGGTGCTGTGATGGTTCCTGTGGCTGGGGCTGGGTCAGAGTTTTCCCTCCCCAGCGCCTTCCTTTGGCTGTGCGTAGACTGGGAGGCATCCTGGGGATGGGCATGATGCTGCCGGTCCACAGCGACAGGTGGAAGCCATACTTGGGACCACATCTGTTCACTCAGTGACTCTTGACTATGGAAGCCTACACGAGGCACATCTGCCCGTGGCAACCTTTGCACCATTACCGGTTTTCTCAAAGAAGGCATGGGCAGAGGGTGGTTGTGCAAGTCAGCACTAAAGCAGGAGAGTGGAGGCGAGAGGTAGGAGCCTGAGCTGTAGAGAGCATCGGCTCATCTATGTCCTAACCCCGTTCCTTTCCACTATTTGTTTTCAGAAAATGAGGAACCCGTATGCCTGTAACGACTCCTTATTTACTGGCAGCTTTTCAAACTGAAGTATAACGAGCTTTATTAGTGTTTGGCCTGACCAGTGATGACAGGGGATGGAAGTAGAGCTCCATGTCTATTACAGTAACAGCTTCACACTCTCCCTTGTGCCTATCTTTCTCCTCCTGCCTGACACAACTAGTATGCACACCTGCATAACCCGTTGGCCAGCTCCTGAGTGTCACACAAAATTACATTATACACAAAGGATTTTCCAAAGGTTCACGGAAAATGCTTATTATGACAAGAGCCGTGAAGGACCCCGAATTTTCTAGAATTAAAATAAATTTATCAGGCTGGCGCCGCGGCTCACTAGGCTAATCCTCCGCCTAGCGGCGCCGGCACACCGGGTTCTAGTCCCGGTTGGGGCGCCGGATTCTGTCCCGGTTGCCCCTCTTCCAGGCCAGCTCTCTGCTGTGGCCAGGGAGTGCAGTGGAGGATGGCCCAGGTGCTTGGGCCCTGCACCCCATGGGAGACCAGGAAAAGCACCTGGCTCCTGGCTCCTGCCATCGGATCAGTGTGGTGCGCCGGCCGCAGCGCGCTGGCCGCGGCGGCCATTGGAGGGTGAACCAACGGCAAAGGAAGACCTTTCTCTCTGTCTCTCTCTCTCACTGTCCACTCTGCCTGTCAAAAAATAAAAAAATAAAAATAAAAAAAATAAAATAAATTTATCTTTTAATTCCACTTTTTTTTTTTTTGCCAACATTTTTGAAGACCCCTCATGGTACTTTTTTTTGGGAGAGGTTGTCTTATTTTCCTCAAAAGTATTGTGTCTGTGAGATTCAGTGACAAGTAGTTGTTTGCTCATTTCCAATTATCTTCAGTACATCGTTGTATGAAGGGATCACCACTTACAAGATCGTTCTACTGTTGGTTATTCTCCTACATTGGGGGATTGTGTGCAGAGTGTTTTCTTGAGTACTTTTTCCACATCCTGCTCCAGCCTGCATGTTTTTCTGTGGTGTACATTCCTGGAGTGAAATTTCTGCACTGTAAATTGTGTATATATAGTAGATATAGTAGTGTATATATATATATATATATACATACTATATATATATATATAGTAGAGGGTTTCAAATACTTTTCAAAAAAAGGTTACAATAATTCATAAAACTCATGTTCCCTGGACTCACATCTCATCAACACCTGTTACTTGTACTCCAGTGTGTCAGCTGTCTGGCTGTGATAGTCAGCAGTGTCTCGTTACGGTTTTAACTGGCATCTCTCTGAAGACGAATGAGTCTGAGCAACCCTTCACACGCTCGTTGGACATGTGGATTTCCCCTTGTCAAGGAGAGGCTCTGCCTTAGATTCTTTCTGCTGAATTGTCTGTGTTTCTTCACTGAGGTCCTTTATGTGTTCTGGTCACTACCTGTGGGTTCCGATGGGCATCACCGTTGTCCTTTCTCATGCTGTGACTTGATCTCTCTCTCTCTCTCCTTAATGCTGTGCAATCTTTTCCATGACGTTTCTTGTTTAATAATAAATTGATGACTATTTTAAAATCATGTAGGTATTATCCTATTCTATGTCTTAAAATACGTTGCCTTGGCCAGCGCCGTGGCACACTAGGCTAATCCTCTACATGCGGCGCCGGAACCCCGGGTTCTAGTCCTGGTTGGGGCGCCGGATTCTGTCCCGGTTGCTCCTCTTCCAGTCCAGCTCTCTGCTGTGGCCCGGGAAGGCAGTGGAGGATGGCCCAGGTCCTTGGGCCCTGCACCCGCATGGGAGACCAGGAGGAAGCACCTGGCTCCTGGCTTCGGATCGGTGCAGCACGCTGGCTGTAGCGGCCATTTTGGGGGTGAACCAGTGGAAGGAAGACCTTTCTCTCTGTCTCTCTCTCTCTCACTGTCTGACTCCGCCTGTCAAAAAAAAATACGTTGCCTTACCATTTCTGTCTATAGTACCCCTGGAGTTGCTTCGTATCTGGCATGAGGTAAAATATGGGATCACTGTGGCTCAGCAGGTTAAAACCCCAGCCTACAGAACTGGCATTCATATGGGCACCAGTTTGAATCCCAGCTGTTCCACTTCCTATCCAGCTTCCTGCTAATGCTCCTGGGAAGGCAGTAGAGCATGGCCTAAGTCCTTAGGCCCCTGTACCCACATGGGACACCCAGAAGAAGCTCCTGGCTATTGGCTTCAGATTGGCCCAGCTCCAGCCATTGTGGCCATCTGGGGCATGAACTAGCAAATAGAAGAACTCTCTGTAACTCTGCCTTTCAAGGAAATAAAATAAATCTTTAAAAAAATTAAGGGATCTTGTATAAGTGGCTCTCTTTCTGACCTCTCTACTCTGAGCTAACCAAACCCATGCTAAGGAAACAGGCACTACAAGCCAAACTCATTGTCTTTAACATTCTTTCTTTCTCAGATTTTCATAGTTTCATACGATCTCAATTGGTTAATTAACTGATAGATTAATTTTTAAAAAATTTGCTTATTTTCATTCTATTTGAAAAGGGGGGGGGGAAGGAGAGACAAAGAGGGAGAGTGAAAGGGAGAGGGAGAGGGAAAGAGAAACGTGCTCCCATCTACTGGTTCATTTCCCCAAATCCTCAAACAGCCAACACTGGGTCCGACTGAAGGCAGGAGCCATGAATTCTGTTTGGGTCTCCCATGTGGGCAGAAGGTACTTGAGTAGCTGAGCTGCTACCTGCTGCCTCCCAGGTTTGCATTAGCCAGAAGCTGGAATGGAAGCAAACTCAAACCAGGCACTGCATTATGGATGCAGGCAGCCCAAGTGGTGTCTTAAGAGCTACACCAAAAGCATACCCCTAAAAAGTTTTGTAAAGCCTTTAGAGTGGCAATCAATTGGACCACTGCAGTGAACTGCCTCGTATTCTGTCCTCTGGTACTGAACTACAGCTCCACCTGGGCAGATAGGAAAAAAGGCAGAAAACAAGGAAAGAAGAAGATGGAAAGGAGAGCAACTTGCCAAGGTGCAAAGCCTCCTCTGTAAGATCCTCCATTGCAGCTCTGAACCCTGACTCACTTCTGAATCCTTGGCCCACACCGAAGGGCTGGGGACAGTGTAAGGCTGCGTGTCCTGTATGGCTGGTGAAAGGTCACTTACTCATTCATTCACTTTATAAATACGGTCATCCCTTGGTGTTTGCTGGGGGGCGGGTTCCAGGAATCTCCTCAGATATAAAAGTCTGTGGACACTCCAGTCCCTTATATCAAAATGACACATTTATAGGTTTATGGACAATCTATTGTACACTTTAAATCATCTCTAGATTATGTATAATACCTACTGCAGGAAGCCGGGTCAGAAGCAGAGGTGACTCAGCCCCAGGCACTCTGATATGGGATGCAGATGTTCCAAGCAGCAGCCTAACCCACTGTGCCTCAATGCCCACCCCTCTTCCATACTTTCTGAATTTAACTAACTCTCCATGCCATGGCAGAGTTAGACTTGGAGTGCAGCGTTCCTTCTCCTTTAATAATACAGAAGTAAGAAATCTAAGGACACTGTTGACAGAATCTATGTTAAGGGGAGAATTCACAGAAAAGCCAAGCTTCCTCTCATTTAAAAAGAGTTCAATAAAACAAGACCATTTATATGAAGTCTGATGGAACAAGGACATAAGCCTCAGCTATTTTCCCTCATTGCCCAAAAGCGATAAACTTGGGAATGTATTCCTTGCCCTTGAAACTCAGTTGGGTCTCACACCCTATTGCCCTCATACTCCACGCTGCATTCTTTTCCAGGTTCCCAAGGCCTCGCCCAGTTCCTGGAATCCCCTCCACTGCTGCCCCCATCCCCCCCAGCCCTAGCCCTCCTTAAAAAGACCCAGCCCCTGGTGGTCGGGGCCTTCTGCCACATTCTCCACCTTGTACACGCAGACAGTTGGCCACTCACCTCTACGGATCTATTTTCTCTGAATAAATTCGGTATGGCTGTAAATTCATACGCTGCCTCCTCTCTATTCTATGACTCTTTCCCTAACATTTTGGTGCCCTGGGTGAGGAGGCACCAATCTGCAACTCTTTTCCTAACAAAGTCAAATCTGGTATTTTCTATAATTTTATTATGTTTAGTCAGCATTCTTATCATAGGCATTGCTTATTCAAATCACAGGAAGAATTTAACTGCTCAACTCACTGATGGAGAATTGTGAAAAAAAAAAAAAAAACGAAAAACTAAAACGGAACCATTCACAACAATATCAGATTGTCACCCAGTGAATGAAAGCGGCAAAAGCCAAAGTGCCTTTGTGAAGAAAGATCTGCGTCACTGACGGTTCTACTTGGGTTTGGAAGTAGGCGGTATAGGATATGGGACAGTTAAGTCACCCAAAATATAACCTGAGGCATCACAAGTTCAGCATAAATCACAGCATAAATCGACCAAACTGAAACATGAAATCTGATTACGGGTCCTGCAGTCACTAGCATAGGTGAGGCTGATTATAACTCGGCCTGCAGGGTGGCCTTTTCCCAAGACCGGACATAAAGGAGATGCTTGCTCCTGGAAACTGAAGTTTCCCGTGAAATAGAAGGGATTAGAAACACAGTGTGCAGTCATGCTCTAGTCTTGTGTCATTTACTATGACTTGGTTAAAGATATTTTTGAGAATAACATATAGTTTTCAAATGGGAAGAGGCAGCAAAAAAAAAAAAAGTGACTTCATGAATTTGGCGTAAGGAAAAGCACCTATAAAATAAATGCTGACACACTGCAGGGGGTGATGTATGATCTCACAGCCTCCCACTTCCATTGGCAAGCTGTATAGCTGCATTCGTCAGATTTTCATCGCTGTAATGAAGGTCCGAGAGGCGCAGGTCGGCAGCCCACGATCAGGTGGCTCCATGAGTCCAGGCAGTCAATGGGACTGAAGGAGGTGGAGGAGCGACCACAGGGTGAGCCAGGGAGCAGAGAGGCAGGACGCATGCTCCTCCTCCATGCCCAGTTGTAGCTCTTCATAGAGCTTTGATCATGGGGATCCGCCCCAGAAACCTAATCCAATCCAAGCACCTCCCAAAGGCTTCACTATAACCAGATCCAACCTCCACCCCTCATCCATTAATCATTAGCATTAAACATCGGGGTTTTGATGTCTGCATGAGTTTGGGGAGCCAAAGCCTGTTCAGACCCTAACAGTTGCAAAACACATGCATTAGCTGCCATTAAATAGTCAATCCTTTGAACTTTCCATCCTGCCTTCTAACATAGAAACACAACAAACAAAATCTGGGTTATGATTTGTTTCTCCATGTATACCTGCCTACAAAAACTCCAGCTCTCCCAGCTGCACTGTTGGAAGCAACTCCAGAGAACCCCTAGCATAGGTATCTGAGGAGCCCACACACCGGCTGCGCCTCTGCTTGTCAGGTGCACGGAAAAACTTCTGTGTCTCACAAGAGGTGACCCTGGTCCTTTGCTTGCTTGCTTTTTTTCCCCCTTTCCTGTAGAGGTGTAGCCCTCAGCTGCTTGAGTTTTCCATCACTGTTCATTTTCTTTCTCAAGACAGTCTGATGCTTCCTTTTGTAGCACCACCCTCACACCACCAGCGTTCCCAGGAGGGCACACCCCTTTCTGTGCCTCTCTTCAGTTTTGTTTACCCCAGAAACTCAGGCTCTAATTTTCTCTTTACCTCCCCAAACTCAGGGAGCTACCTCCAGTCCCACCATCTTCATTACTTAGTTTCCTTAAAGCTTTGACCAGAAAGCAAATTATTTCTGCAAGTCTAGCAACAAAGTTTGACCTGTTTCACAGGACATGACTTAATCCCATCTTGCTATTTGTAGAGGTGACCAGAACAATGAGGACATAAGTGAAGGTCATTTCCATGACAACAACAAGCTTTTGCTGGATGAGCCTCCCACACCAAAGTCCCAGGACAGCGGATGCTCGAAAATACATCCAGGAGTTCATCAGTGACTGACCGCACATGGAACCAGGATCCTCAACACCAGCTCCTTTGCGTAGGATACTGCAACTGGTCACGAGTGAATGGGGAAGAACTTTGTTAACAGAAATCAATGTGCAAATGTATGAAGTTGGTGATTCTATCACCACCGGGAGCAGCTTAAAGAGCGCAGCTTCCTGCTGCCCAGCCCCCAGTGTGACTCCTACTTAGAGAAAGCTGCAAATGTGACTGCACCGGAGCTGGAACCAGAAAACCTGGGCTCTGCACCCAGTTTGGTCCATCCTAGCTACACGACTGCATGTAGGTCCCTTTATCAATTGGTTCTGCCCAAGTATTTGACTGACAGGAGATAAAGAGACGCAAGACCATCACAGAAGCAAAGCAACACGAAACATAATGCAGTGAAGACTTTATTAGGAACACATAGTTGTTATGAAAGAGTCAAAAAATGATAGACATATTCAGACAAAATGATTGGTACTTATGCTTACAAAGACCTAATAAGATGGGAAGAGTGGTTTTTTTCTTCATCTGCCTTAACTTAAAAAGGTATCCATGTAGAGACCATGAATCCAGGCCAGGAATAGATGACGTTGCCCCCCCTGAATGAAGAGAATATCAGAGTGAAAAAGGTGACACGCGCTGAGCAAGCTCTCCAATCTGAGGACAAGATGATTGACAGCTAGGCAACAGCGTGTGGGTTATTAGCAGAGAAAAGGGAAGCAATTTGCCATAGAAATGGGTGTCTTGAAAACTGATGATGGAAGTGTATTCTGTGTAGGTAGTGGGTTTCTGGTAAGCTGCTTAGCAGCAGGAGGGCCGGCAGCAGCTGGGCTCACAGCAGGACGGGCGGCAGCAGGGCTGGCAGCAGCTGGGCAGGCAGACGCACGTGGGGTGGTAGCAGGTTCTGGTGCAGTAGACGGGCGTGCAGCTGCCGGCCTGGCCGCAGGGGTCGCTGCAGCAGCTGGGGCGGCAGCAGGACTGGCAGCAGCTGGGCTGGCAGCAGCTGGCCACGCAGCAGCTGGGCTGGCAGCAGGGGGTGCGGCGGCAGCTGGTCACACAGCTGGGCTGGAAGGTGGTCCTGCAGCAGCTGGTCTGGCAGCACGTGGGGCGGCAGCAGCTGGGCTGGCAGCAGCTGGGCTGGCAGCAGGGGGCGCTGCTGCAGCAGCTGGACACGCAGGCTGGCTTCCAGCAGGTGGTCCTGCAGTGGGTGGTGCTGTAGCAGGGGGGCGGGCAGCAGGGGGAGCAGCAGGAGTTGGTCATGGTGTTGGTGGGGAGGGTGGGCTTACTTCACAGGTGAGTTTCCCAGAATATGATGGTGCTGTGTGCTCTGGGCCTTTTATACCCCGGGCCTCCCAAGCAGGGGCCAATGAGCCACACTTGACTTTGTTATTGTTTATGTTAATTTCTCTAGTCCATTGGGAAATGTCCCAGGGAGGAAGTTGTTCCTTAAGTGTTCTGTATTTTCTTTGCATAATTGATTTGTTTGTTTTCCTCATTGATAAATAACCAAATAGAACTATTTTCTTGAAAGGAGAAATTGGTCATCCTTCTCCACATTAGTAAATCCTTGTGTTTAAAGCCAAGCACAGTAGTGTGTGATCTTCCAAAAGGTCCCGCCTAGCTTGGGACAGGTCAGAACCACTGTCGGTCTCCACCTGTGTTCCTGGGTGCTGCTTCCTCCTGGGAGCACGTCTGATGTTGATGAGTCACGGCGATGAGTTAAAGCCACGTTTAGGGAGGTTTCTGATACCACCTGTAACGTAGAAGCTACTATAAATAAATAAATCTTTTAAAAGAAAGACAACGGCTTGATTTCCAATAAATTCTTGAGAGATATAAGGTTGATGGGCCCTGGTGTTCAACTGACAAATAATAATTGTGCACATTTGTGGAGTTAACACCTCTCTGACATCTTTGTATCCGCATACCTAATTGATATTTCTAGTGCTAAATTATCTGTTACCAAAACTTGTGAGGTCTCTGTTTCTTGGCTGCACACTGCCTGGCACGTGAGGCTTCAATGGGTAAAAGGATTTGGCCAGGTTCACAATCAGGGAGTGACAGGAGAATGTTGTGAGTTTTCATTATGTTTTATTGACTCCTTATACCCAAGTCCTACACTCTGTTGTTTTCTTAACAATAGAGGAACGTAGGGCCAGAGATCAAAGGGGAAATAATTCAATGGGTTGCCCTTGAGAGGACTTACTATGGAGGAAATTGACACAGCAGACAGATGACACAAGCTTGAGGAATCTCCCAGAGCAGACACAGGTGCAAGAGATGAGAAGGAGGGGTGCTCAGCAACCCTGTCGCTTCGTGGGGTGCTCATTCCACTGAAACAGTGTCTCCTGGAACTGTGGGTGGCCCCAAAGCAGAGGGCGTGGTTACTGAGTAGGAGATAAAACTTCAGGAAATGCGGAGCGTCTTGTGGCCCGTGATGGCTGAAGAGACGTTAGCAGCTCACCTCTTGTTTTCTCGCACCCCTCGTACTACTGAGCAATTCCGCTCTTCTCCTTATGACTCGGTTTCTCATTGGAGGATTCCGGCGCCCCCGCTGGGACCGACCCAGTGCCCACGTTGACTTCGGATACTGTTCTCTTCCTCCTTTCCTCCCTTCTGTCATTTCTCTGGCTCCCTGAAAACACTGGCATCTAATTTCCTTCAAATTACTTGTTTTCATCTTCTGGAACACAGGGAGTTGCTCTGCTTCCCTTCACGGCCCAGGGAACATGACTGAATTGAAAGGAAAATGCCCAGGGCATGGCCACTTCAGTTCTCAGGACTCTGTACAAACATCTCTCCTTAATGTTCGTTTCAGGCAACCGAATTGCCTCCATGTTTAGGAGAACAGGAAAATATAGCCCAAGCCTCTCTACCTTGCAGGGGTGATTCTCAATCCCAATTGCTGCTCAAACAAATGAAATGATACGGGGATGCCGCCTCCATAACCAGGAGCAGGTTCCTCCAGGTCAGGGCAGGGCCAAGGACACCAGTGATGCTTGCATTGTAGGTGACGGATGGTGCCCATGGTGGACCAAAATCCAGAGAAGATGAAAGCCTCCTCTCATTGGCTGGAACGCTCACAGGCAGTCTCTAAGAGTCACTGGGGTCAGAAAAGTATTTGAGACGAACTTTGTAAACAGCAAAGTGTTCGTCAGGGAGAGGTGTAATTATTTCCATTTTGGGAGAAGCAACTCAAAATGCACATCCGCCCTCTGCCCAGACAATGGTGTTACACCTACAGGTGGGGCAGCACAAAGAAACAAACTCCACAAAGCATCCGGGACCTGGAACCCAGAGCCTGAGCATTGTCCCTGCCTCTGTCAGATCCCAGCTGCACGGCAAACGACCAAGATAGGAACAGTGACCTTTGTCCTGCCTAACTCACGGGGCCAGCCAAAGACCGAAGGCTATTTCACACTTTACTCTCAGTGCGCCCGCAGGAAGCACAGGAGGTCACGTGTGGAATCTTCCCCTTTGGGTGTCATACTGATGCTGGAAAAGTTTCAGATTTTGAAACATCTTGCATTTCAGAATTCCAGATTAGGGCTGCTCACCCTGTCCTGGGATACATCTCTGAAGATAACACATGCTGGTGATGACGTCACGTGATGTATTTGAACTGTGTTTTAGTACATTCTAAATTAAAATCATTTTTAAAAAGTGTTCTGATCTGTGTTGTGCACACATAGATTTGATGAAGGCGATTCTAGCGGCGTCAGCAGCGCCATGGGGTGTCTCTCTGCCTGCAGAAGGATCTGTCCTTCCTAGACTGACACCATCTCCTAGCCTGGTGACGACCTGGGGACACTGGGCTTACATGCGGCAGGGAAGAGGAAGGTTTCAATGATCAGAAGTCAAGAAAAAGACAATACAAAAAAAGTAAAAGACCAGGAAAAAATGCTACTGAAATGATGCGTTGCTGGCTGTTCTTGATAGAGGGATGACGCTGATTAATTGTGGTGTTACTTATAATTAGCGCCCTGTGCATTTTTTTCTTTTTATGTGAAAATTTAACAAAAGATACCCTGTTCTGTAAAAAATGAACAGAAGCAGTTAGCCTGGCAACTAACATATGTTCCTTTGAAACACAGTGTAAAAACGCAAATGCTGATAAACTTAGTGAATGAACGCGGGAACGGCAAGGTTCAACAGCGACCGCATCATGCGTATCAGCGGGGCGGGAGGTGGGGAAAGTAAGGCATGAGATGTTTTGGATGTCTAGCAATTTCCATATTTGCCTAAACTTTTGAAAGCAAAGGCAACTCTGAAAATTATTTGTTCTAGGGGTAGAGAGACAGAATGAAAGAGGGAGCCGGGGGAGGGGAGAGAATGAGAGCGAAAGGGCACAAGAGCGAGCAAGAGAGAGAGAGAGAGAGAGAGAGAGAGAGCTCTCTGGTTGGTTCACTCCTCAAATGCCCACAACAGACAGAGCTGGGCCAGGGCCAAACACAGGGGCTGGGGACTCAATCCTGCTCTCCCAGGCAGGTGGCAGGAGCCCGACTACCTGAGCCATCATTGCTGCCTCCAGGTTTACACCAGCAGGAGGCTGGATTCTGTACCCGCACCAGGAATCAAACCCAGGTGCTCCAACGCGGGACTCAGGCCTCTTAACTACAAGGGAAACAGCATCACATTTTCACAGGACACAAAGTGGCCTCCTGGTGCAGCTTCATTTGCCGACTTAAGTTGTGGATGGAGAGACGCAGTGGAGCATGTGTCCCTGTATCTCCCTCCTATGCGTGACTATGGCATGTGGTGGGAACCAATACACAGTTACTGAATAATGGAGAACTTGGTTCATCCACCTAAAAACTTGGACTGACAGTAATTAGTAGTGCATCTGGGAATCCAAGTACTGGTATGGAAAAAGAAACAGAATGATCAGTTCTATTGAAGATATAAAATTTGAAGCCATGTGCCTTTTATTTAAAAAAAATAAAGATTAAGTAAAGATTTCAGTCGTTTGCACACCCATAGAAACACAAAGTGAAATATACTGTTTGAGTACTCGTTATAGCATTAAGCCTCAGTGTACAGCACGTTAAGGACAGAGATCCTACATGAGGAGTAAGTGCACAGTGACTCCTGTTGTTGACTTTACCAATTGACACTCCTGTTTATGGCATCAGTAATCTCCCTATGCACCAGTTATGAGTTTCCAAGGCTATGGAAGCCCCTTGAGTTCTCCGACTCTTATCTTGTTTAGACACGGTCATAGTCAAAGTGGAGGTTCTCTCCTCCCTTCAGAGAAAGGCACCTCCCTCTTTGAAGACCTGTTCTTTCCACTGGGATCTCACTCACAGAGATCTTTTTGCCAGAGTGTCTTGGCTTTCCATGCCTGAAATACTCTCATGGGCTTTTCAGCCAGATCCGAGTGCCTTTAGGGCTGATTCTGAGGCCAGAGTGCTATTTAGGACGTCCGCCATTCTATGAGTCTGCTGAGTATCTCACTTCCCATGTTGGATCACTCTCCCCTCTATTTATTCTATCGGTTGGTGTTAGCAGATACTAGACTTGTTGATCTGATTTCATCATCATTTAAAAAAAATCATCTATTATTTTTCACTTTATGTTTCTGTGTGGGAGCAAACTGTTGAAATACTTACTTAAGGTATACTAAGCTGATCTTCTGTATATTAAGATAATCGAAAATGAATCTTGATGTGAATGGAAGGGGAGAGGGAGTGGGAAAGGGGAGGGTTGTGGGTGGGAGGGACGGTATGGGGGGGAAGCCATTGTAACACATGAGTCGTACTTTGGAAATTTATATTCATTAAATAAAAGATTAAAAAAAAAAATAAAGATTTATCTTATTTATTTCAAAGACAGAGTTACAGAGAGAAGTATAACCAGAGAAAAAGAGAGGTCCTCCATCTTCTGGTTCACTCTCCAAATGACTGCAATGGTTAGAGCTGAGCTGATCCAAAGCCAGAAGCCAGCAGCTTCTTCCGAGTCTCCCACGTGGGTGCAGGGGCCCAAGGACTTGGGCCATCTTCTACTGCCTTCCTAGGCCATAGCATAAAGCTGGATTGGAAGTGGAGCAGCTGGGACTCAAACCAACGTCCGAATGGGATGCCAGCACATAAGTGGTGGCTTTACCCACTACACCATAGCTCCCAGCTCATGTGCCTTAAACCCTGATACATTTCTTTGCTTCTTCATCATTTACAATACCATAATGTGCTGAGGTCTGCCTTTTTGTGCCTGCTTCTATTTTAAGTATTGTCCAAATTGAAGGAACTGTGGCTCTGTATCTCACACAGGAACAGGAAGATAAAGCATTGGAGGATGAAAGAATGGCTCATCTTGAGCTCAGAGTGTCAGGGGTGCACTCTGAGCAGGGAGGGCAGATGACACTGAAACAAAAGAGCCAGGGAAATTGCGCCTGTAGGGGCAAAGAGCTGATTCCATGGAAATCATGTAAGCACCTGTTCTCAAAACCAAGGCTAGCAACATCATGCCACAATCAGAATGTCTGATAACACATCACTAATGAGATGAACAATGGCAACAAAAAATTTCTGGACATGGTGATGGCAGCTCCCAGTCTCCCAGCCTGGAGGCAGGCAGGCTCCCCCAGAAGACTTCTAGAACCTCACGCTGCTAGAAACCCAGGGGGAGCCCCAACCCTCTGGCACCAGGGGCTGCTGCGGCTGTGGCTCCCTCTGCTCTGAGCAGGGCTCTGGCCAAGGCCCCTGCCAGGAGACCTGCCGCCACCCCAGCTGCTGCCGGACCACCTGCTGCTGCTCCAGCTGCTGCCAGACTTCCTTGCTGCTGGATCACCTGCTGTCGCCCAGTCTCCTGTGGCTCCTCCTGTTGTTGAGTCACTCCTGGCCAGCAGCCCCGAGTCGGCCAGTCTGCTGACTCCTCATTTCCTTGGTTTACTGCACCTGGCCTTGTGGTGATCTGTCACTATGTCTGTTCATCCCATCGGTCATGCCACCAAGCAACTGTTTTAAAAAGCAACAACTTAGGGGCTGGAGCTGTGGTGTCACGGGTAAAGCCGCCATCTGCAATGCTGGCATCCCATATGGACTCCAGTTTGAGTTCCGGCTGCTCCACTTCTGATCCAGCTCCCTGGTATGGCCTGGGAAAGCAGTGGAAGATGGCCCAAGTCCTAGGGCCCCTGCACCCGCATGGGAGACCTGGAAGAAGTTCCTGGCTCCTGGCTTCGGATTGGTGCAGCTGTGGCCATTGCGGCCAATTGGGAGTGAACCAGCAGATGGAAGACCTCTCTCTCTCTCTCTCTCTCTCTCTCTCTCTCTCTCTCTGCCTCTCCTTCTCTCTCTGTGTAACTCTGACTTTCAAATAAATAAGTAAATAAATCTTTAGAAAAAGCAACAGTTTAAACTAATTTCACACAGAACCCATGGCCGTGGCGTTCAGTCAGGGGGCCAGCTGTCACACTGCTTGGTTGGGACAGACTCCTGCTCTTACAACTGCTGTGCTTGATTTGGCCTCTGCAGTGAATTCTGTGAGCTAGAGTGACTGTGTCTCAATAAATATTTGTGGTTTGTGGTACTTAGCTATTTTTGGGTGCTATTTATTTAGGGAAAAGTAAACAAAGAAAACTGATTTTTGCGTCTATCGATCAAAGCCTAGAAAATGCAAAGCAATTCATTCCGCCCGCCAAACCAGACTGCTCACCTTACCTCCCCTTGCATCTGCTGGGAGAACAAGAGCTTCCTCTCTACTCTAACTGAGCCGTGGACGGCGCAGCGAGCTCTCAGGCTCTGAGCAGAACGAGGCCCTCACCTCTCAGGTGACCCGCTGAGCAATCCTGGATGTAAGGGAGGTCATAGGTCAGGTAAGGAATCTACTCTGTTGGAGAAGAGTAACATTTAGATGTAGTGATTGACCCAGAGAAATAAAATATGCCAAGTTCGAAAATTCAGGGGACTATGTAGAGCTCACAATCACACAAAACCAAGTAAAAGGGAATCATAGGATGCCGAATATTCATATTAATATGAAGAGAATTCTTTTTAAAAGGTATCAAAGCCATTGCAGTCATTTAAAGGAGGGGCTACTTCCAAGTTATCTCCCTGCCTTCAGACAGAGAGCTGGACATCACTACATACCCAGATGGCGTTGGGACTGGGGCTCAATCAGATTGGCCTTGATAGTGACCTCCTGGTGATACTGTGTCCCAAAAAACAAAAACAAAAACAAAACAAAAAAATGGCTCTCCTATTCTTATAAACACTTGGATGTATATTTAAATTAAGTGTAAAACTGTTGTGAAAATGAGGAAAAACAATAATGACAATGTAGCCGAGACTTTAATGCATTGTTTAAAAATGATCATTTGAGGGGCTGGTGCTGTGGTGTAGTGGGTAAAGCTGCTGCCTGAGGTGCTGGCATCCTATATGGGTGCTGGTTTGATTCTCGGCTGCTCCACTTCTGATCCAGCTCTCTGCTATGGCCTGGGAAAGCAGTAGAAGATGGCTCAAGTCCTTGGGCCCTGCACCCGTGTGGGAAACCTGGAAGAAGCTCCTGGCTCGTAGCTTCGATTGGTCCAGCTCCGGCTATTGTGGCCATTTAAGGAGTGAACCAGAGGACAGAAGACTTTCTCTCTCTCTCTCTCTGCCTCTCTTTCAAATAAATAAATGTTTTGAAAAAAATAATCATTTAAAAAACACAATAACATGGAGAATTTGGGAAGCAACCTGATAAATTTAGATACAATGGATCAGTAGACATTTATGTGTCATGCCTACGAAGTTGAGTTCCATGATTTTCACATAGACCCGTAATGTTCACACACTCTATCAGGCGACAAAGAAAGCCTCAATAGTAGAAACAATATAAGCCTCTCCTGTTCCATCAGTAACCAGAGAACAGCACATCCAAGCACGCTCTTGCAGCCTTCCCTTCTCTTAGTTCTTTCTGAGTAAGTCAGTCTACATGGAGAGTTGATGCTGCATCATGGGACAGAGATGGTCTAAAGAAATGGCACAGCTCATTTCTCTTTCCTAGTTGAAATAATTTAAACTTACAGAAAAATTTCAACAATATTTCACAGTTTTTTTAATGCCCAGATGATGCTCCACCACTGCTACACATCAGCACTTCCTCCCTCCAGGACACTGTCCCCACAGCCGGAGGAGGACTCCAGGTCAAGCTGCCGCTCTCGTGAGCCGTGCTGTGGTGACCTTCCTGGAACTCCTGTCTTGGAGCACTGTAAGCTGGTATCTGCTGAGTGCACTACTGGCAGTGAGGTTACTCCATCAAAAGGCATGGAAATTTCAAGATCTGGTTAGCTAATCTGAGATATCATTAGATATGATTTACGATACCATTAAGATAATGTTAAATTTAATATTTTGTTAAATTACTATCCAAAGAAGAGTCTTCAATTTAGACCCCATCATCCATTATGAAAAAATTTCCTTATAACTTTGCTTATTAAAGTTTTAAAATTAAACATTTTACATTTATCATTACAGATAGCAACTATTCACTCTTGAATCCCCAGGGCACATGGTAGGACTTGACACACAGTAGGTATTCAGTAGATGATCTGATGAATGAATACTTTTTTTTCTATTGAAATTTTCTAAATTGTAAGACTGAGCAACCTTCAAATGCTCAAAAAACATTTATATTGCCTTTTTAGTGAAATGACTATTGATGTTCTTAGTTTTACTTTAAGGAACTTAGCTCATTTTCTGTTAGATTGATCAAGGTATTTGTCATTTATTCCCAGTTTGCTCTTTAGCCTTTTAAATTTTTTTTAATATTCACTTAAAATTTTTCCTTTTCTTTATTTCTATTAAATTTTCAGGCTCAAAAGAATTTTTCCCAGGATTTCATTTATTTCTTTGTTAAAAGAGAACAGATGCCGGCGCCGCGGCTCACTAGGTTAATCCTCCGCCTTGTGGCGCTGGCACACCGGGTTCTAGTCCCGGTCGGGGCGCCGGATTCTGTCCCGGTTGCCCTTCTTCCAGGCCAGCTCTCTGCTGTGGCCAGGGAGTGCAGTGGAGGATGGCCCAAGTGCTTGGGCCCTGCACCCCATGGGAGACCAGGAGAAGCACCTGGCTCCTGCCATCGGATCAGCACGGTGCACCGGCCACAGCGCGCCTGCTGCGGTGGCCATTGGAGGGTGAACCAACGGCAAAGGAAGACCTTTCTTTCTGTCTCTCTCTCTCACTGCCCACTCTGCCTGTCAAAAAAAAAAAAAAAAAAAAAAAGAGAGAGAGAGAGAGAGAGAACAGACTTCATATATCTCATAGGTGCAATTCTTAGAAGATAACCATATTTACCTCCCAGAAACACTGTCCTACACAAGGACTGGTGTGAGACATAAAGCTTTCGGGATGACACATGGAATGCTGAGTTTCATATGATGTATCACATGGCAATCAGTCTGATGAGTAAAGTTAAGAGTTTTTGAAATTAGGTGAGACACGAAAGAAAGAAGAAAAGGGGTGACTCAGGAGGAAATGCATTGGATGAACCCAAACAGAGAGAAAAAAAATGCATTCTAATGATTATCTAGATTGCCCCTAGTTGAGTAATTAGATAATTGCTTACTTGTTAAGATAAACAATAACAGGGAAATAGTCCTTAACCTGGTGACAGCAGCACCTCAGCTGGGTATAAAAGTGGACATGGGGAAAGGAGACATCCACACTTGAGAACCTCACTCTCTTGGAAACCCACCCAGAACCTCCATTCTCTGTCACAATGGTCAACTCTTGTGGCTCTGTCTGCTCTGAGCAGGGCTGTGGTGACTACTACCAGGAGGAATCCTGCTGCCGACCAGTCTGTCAGACCACCTGCTGCCGCCCAGTCTATCAGACCATCTGCCGCCCCAGCTGCGGAGTGTCCAGCTGCTGTCGCCCAGTCTGTCAGACCACCTGCCGCCCTAGCTGTGGTGTGTCCAGCTGCTGCCGCCCAGTCTGTCAGACTACCTGTGGTGTGTCCAGTTGTTGCCGCCCAGTCTGTCAGACCACCTGCCGCCCCAGCTGTGGTGTGTCCAGCTGCTGCCGCCCAGTCTGTCAGACCACCTGCGGTGTGTCCAGTTGCTGCCGGCCAGTCTGTCAGACCACCTGCCGCCCTAGCTGTGGTGTGTCCAGCTGCTGCCGCCCAGTCTGTCAGACCACCTGCCGCCCCAGCTGTGGTGTGTCCAGCTGCTGCCGCCCAGTCTGTCAGACCACCTGCCGCCCCGTCTGCTCTCAGACCACCTGCTGCCGTACAACTTGCTACCGCCCTAGCTGCTGAGTATCCTCTTGCAAAATCTCCTATCAACCATGAGCCACCATCATGAGTCTGAAAACATCAGATACTGATTTTTCCATGTGTTAAATGGTCTCCAGCTTTATTCTGTTACACCACTTAGCAGTTGGTGAAAGGGCATCCACCTCCATTATTTCCCACTCAAATCTCCCATGCAGCTCTTCACTACGTCTAGCCTCTGGTGTCTGACTATTGTACCTGCCCTGCTCTCCAAAACTATGTGTTAGCTATTCTTCAATAAATACTATCTTTATATCAGGAATTCTTGTATCTTCAACTATTTTTGGGGAGTTATTAGTTTATCTTCTAGTATTATTTTTCTCAAGATGAACATAAATTTGGATTCCTATGGCTAAGCAAGAAAACTGATTTCGCAAATACAATTCAATGCCTATATCACACAACAGACTTCCTTTATATATTTTCCAAAATAACATAATCCACCTTATTTAAGTAATAATAATTTTCTTAATAAAATGAGGGATTGCCTGGAAGTTCATTACACTATTGGGCTCTGGAGGTCATATCAAGATACATGAGGCATAAGGGCCCTCTACAAGGAACTCACCACTTAATCTCGTAAATTAGGTGGAGTATGTTGGGTAGTACTGCTCAGAAAGGGGGCTTTCTGTTTAGAAGAGTAATATGGAAGGAATGATTTTTTATACATTGAATGAGTTAAATCAGTAAACCCAGGGGCAGTGTGCAGGTCACAAGCTCACAGGGTGAAGAGGTGGGGAAGGAGACAGGGAAGTTTACATTCTTATGATGACAAGGGTGAGGTGAGCCAAGAAATCAGTTGTTGTGGCCCAGTGTGGCAGGGACTCAGCCTTGCTGGCCTCACCCCAACCCCCTTCATGCTAATGATACTGTGCTCAAAACGTCACAGGCAAAGGAGGAAGCTCTGAGTCAGAGGTGGACCACACCTATAAAAGGACAGCTTCCCTTGGCCAAAGGTCTACATTGGAGTGAGTGAAGAGGCTGGATGGTGGGCAGGGGTGAGGCTTCCAGGGGGAAGAGCTGTGTGCAGAGATCCACACGCAGGACAGTCTTGGACCCTGCGGCCCCCTGGCCGCATCGTGGCAGACCTGGCCACATCCAGGTGAGCAAACCAACACCTCCTCCCGCCCCGATGCCACCCTCGTCTTGCCCGATGCCACTCCCACAGGGAAAGCGGATACTCGAGCAAAATAAGTGAGTCAAAGGTGTAAAGAAGTAAATTCTCTTTCGGGGAGGACTGAGAAAACATGACAGCTATCCTAAACTGGGAAACCACATCCTTCTAGCCATGATGATGATTCCGAGATCATGAGCTACAGAGAGGGGTGCAGAAAGCCGCGATGCCAGACATTTACAGTCAGTGGAAACCACTGAGAATGACTGGAAGCCAAGTGGCTCTCGGGCAGGGCCGTGGGAGGTTATGGCTAGCAATACTGACAGCTGTCTGGCTGTTGTGGGCTTGATTACCAAGCAATGCATTTATGCTCACTGCTAATAGCTTCAACAGCTGTCTGTTATGGGCAAAGCAAACTGTCAAGGAGGGCTACCCTTGTAGGCTCCATCCAGCTTGTGCTGCAGCACTGACATCCACCTCCTATCCTGACAACTGAAGATGCTTGATCTCAGCCAACATAGCTTGGCATCAGGCCGGCCAGTTCATCTCTGTTCTCCTGCAACTACCCTTTGTTTTTGAGAGTACAGATTAATCACACCTTCTCCTGTCTTTGAGAGAATTTCCATTCCATAACTGACTAATAGCAAATGTCCAAGAATTATAGACTTTAGTCAGAAGCAAAGTTCAGTTGAAAAAGAATCAGCGAAAATTAAACTACTATCAGATACCAGCAGAGTAATAGGACATCAGTCCCAAAGAAAATCACATCCTTAAGTTCAATTCTTTACTGCTGTTAGCTACCTACAGTAAGGCAGTAATTGCTGGATCTGCGAGGTTCCCATTGCTGCACCTCTCACTTGTTAATATACACGTGCATGCACACACATCTGTTTCTAGTGGCAAGGACTGAGAAAGCCATCCAAGCATACTCGGTGTGTTTGTGACTTTGTTCTTATACCAATTGTTTTGTTGAATATAAAAAATCTAAATTCATTTTGTTTAATTTTTACTTTAGTTCTACCGTTCCTTATACCAACTGCAGTGGTCAGATTTCTGTTACCACTTGTCCTCTTGTAATCACTTCTCTCGTGTCTCTTCCCTCTCATTAATCCCTACTAAACACTGATACATTCTCCATTTCTATAATTTTCTCATTTTAGGGAATAATTAGACATGGCCACATTCAGTATATAAGTTTTTGGAATTGCATTTCCCTACCCAATATAAATCGCTGATTCATTCAGACCACTGAGTATCCCAACAGTCCATCCCTTTTTGTTTTATTTATTGCTGAGAAGTATGCATGCTTGAGTGTGTCACAGCTTGTTTAGCAACACACCCACAGAAAGACACCTGGGTTGTTCCCATCTGTTGGCTATTACGGATAAAGTTGCTATAAATACCTACCTACAGGGTTATTGTGCACACACAAAACTCCTTTTCTCTGGAATAAATGCCCAGGAATGCAACTGCTGGGTCATTGCATATTTAGTTTGCTAAACTGCCTTTTCAGGTGGTTGCACCATTTTACATCCCCACCAGCAGTGTATGAGTGGTGCTGTTTCTCCAAGTCCTTACCAGCATGTTCTGTATCACTCACTTTGTAGCCACTAGGACAGGTGTGTAGTGACAACTGCTCGTGGCTTTAACATGCATTTCTCAATTAGTTAATGATGTGCTCATCCCCTCCTGTGCTTGTTCACCTTTTGTACTTCTTTAGTGAAATGCCCATTCATATTTTATAGACTAACTGGAATATTTTCTTTTTTTACTGTTGAGTTTGAGAGTTCTTTATATTTTAGACACTGGCCCTTTGTCAGATATGTTAAAAGATGTTGTTAAAAACATAAAAAGACAATGTAGAGTAATGTAGAGTAATGTAAGAGTACTCTACATTGTCTTTTTATGTTTTTAACAACATCTTTCACAGAGCAAAGGGTTTTCATTTTGATGAAGTCCTATTTATCCATTCTTTTTAAGGGATCATACTTTGAGTGTGAAGAATGAAAATCCTTTTCCTAATGCTAACTCTCAAAGATTTTCTCTTATGTTTTCTTCTTGAAGTTTTACAGTTTTATGTCTTGTATTCGTGTTTTTTAAAAAATAAAGTTTGAGATTTAAGTAGAACTATAAGTATCTATATCGTCTCTATCTGTATCGTCTCTACCTCTCTGTCTCTCTCTATCTCTATCTGTCTCTATCTCTATCTCTCTATCTCTATCTCTATCTCTATTTCTATCATCTCTAGATTCAATAGGATATTGGAAGAGTCTTCATTACAGAAAATGCTGGAGCTCAGAAGAGGGTCTATACATCCTGGTTTTTTGTTTTTGGTTTTTTGTTTTTTTTTTTTTTTGATGGATACCAAAAGAAGCAAATGAAAGGATCAACCAGTCTACAAGCCCTGCTGTCCGCACAGAACTTCCAATTGGCGTTTCAGTGCCATGTAAATAACTCTGTAGGTTTTTCAGAAATGTCTCCAGTCTCAAATATTGATACCAAATTAAAAAATAAATTAATACAGAGTAAAATGACTGGCAGAAATAGAAAATACAGAGCAGAATAGAACTAAAAAATATAAAACAATAAGTGTACCCTTATGAAATTTTGCATCTTTTACAGGCTCATTGTAAGGTAAATTGAGGAGGTGAATATAAGTACTGGAGATATTAATTCACTGTGGCTCAACAGGAAGCTGATCAGAAGGGAATCACGTCACTCTGACCCAAGTCTTGACTCTCAGCAGGTGGAAGTATTCTTCAGCTATGATTCTTAACTGTGTCTACATGTATCAGAAAGAAGCTGAAGACATTGTTCTCAAAAGCCCTAGCCAACCAAAGTAGTCGAGCCTGCCTCCTTGTTCTCTGAGTTATTGGAATTCTTACTGTTTATATAATTAAACTGTAGAACTTAGAATTTTATTATAAATGTTATCAGTAAGGGTATCTGGGCTTGGGGCACATGGGAAGCCTTTGTGTCATTGCACAATTTTTGCTTTGTAAATTCAAAACTGTTCTGGAATAAAGCATTTTTTTTTTTTTAAAAAAGCTCTAACACAATTTAAATGCTTGCTTATGTCCCCAGAGTTTTCACTGAGTATCTGCACAATTGTGCTGTGTGCCAAGGACTTTGATTAATGCTGGGCGTTCAAGGACGAGGAAGGTGAGTGCAGCTCTGTGGCTGAGATGGATCGAGCTCGGCCGAACCACGGTAACCACCAAGAAACCGCAGGGCCGGGAGAAGGCGTCATAGATGCGGCATCGGGGTTGAGATCTTGTGAGATAATAATACGATACAGGGTCATGGTTGCTCAGACTTGGACATGATTGCCAAGTGCAGGGTACGGAAGTTCTGCTTCCAAGGCGAGACAATGAGGGAGAGGGAAGAGAGGCTGGAGATGGGCTTGGCTACAGTTTGAGCATGCAGTTGAATTCCCAGGCAGACGTTAATGGTACAGGGGAGGTGAAGCCTTGATGCAGTGGTGGTGTTTGGCAGGACGGCCCACGGAAGGTCCTTAGGTCTGGGGCTGTGCCCCATGGAAGGCAGTGCTCACGGAGGGTCAGGCATGAGCCTGAGTCCAGCCCAATCCCCATCTCGGTCTGCTTGCTGCTTCTCCTCTGATGACCGTTCCTCTGCACCTGCTCCACTACTGCCTCCAAGGCCTTTGCGGATGACCAAACCAATGGGGCCACCTTCTTCAGGAGCCTGTGTCAAATGTTCAGTAGTGAAAACATGACTGATCTGGCATTGGACAGGTAGGTTAGCGGAGGATGTCAGTGCCATGTTAAGGAGTTAGGGTTCCTCCTGCAGGCTCTGGGCAGTCTATAGCTTTTCAGCTTTAGGTTGCTCCCAAACCTATCAGGGGCACAGAAAATCTGGAAAAATAACACTAACAGGAAATCACAGTTCATGAGATCTGTTTGTTGACTAAGTCAACTCTTCCATTTTTTTTAATATTTGACTTTATTTGAAAAATACTGAGAAGATGGAAGTGTCTCCAATCATCCTAACATTTAAAAAGTCATACAATGGGGGCTGGCACCGTGGCTCACTTGGCTAATCCTCTGCCTGCGGCGCCGGCATCCCATATGGGCGCCTGGTTCTAGTCCTGGTTGCTCCTCTTCCAGTCCAGTTCTCTGCTGTGGCCCAGGAGGGCAGTGAATGTTCCAAGTGCTTGGGCTCCTGCACCCGTGTGGGAGACTAGGAGGAAGCACCCGGCTCCTGGCTTCAGATTGGCTCAATGCTGGCCATAGCGGCCATTTGGGGGGTGAACCAACGGAAGGAAGATCTTTCTCTCTATTTCTCTCTCTCTCTCTGTCTATAACTCTACCTGTCAAAATTAAAAAAAAAAGTCATACAAAGTCAGAATGAAAACCTGCTCCATTACCTACCTCTAATTCCTATTACTTAGATGCATAGATACCAACTCTGACTTCTTCCGATGCTTACACAAACATGCCTGTGTGTAAACAGTGTATACACCTATAATAATCCCCCCGACATGGGATCATGTGGTATATTCATTCATTCATTCATTCAACAAGCATCTGTTGAAGGCCTACTGCATACCATGCACTACTCAACTGGGCACATAACCCCAAACAAGTCTGTATTCTAGCGGACAGCACTGACAACGAGTAAGAGAATGAACAAGGTGATTTCTAATAAATTAAGTGCTAGGAAGAAAATTAACAGAGTCCAGGGGCCGGCATTGTGGCACAGCAGGTTAAGCCGTCACTTGCAATGCTGGCATCCCATATCAGAACACCAGTTCCAGCCCCGGGTAACCTGCACCCTGCTAATGCACCATGGCTCCATGTGGGAGACCATTTGAGTCGAGGCCTGAGTGACGCTGAGAAGCGAGTAGTCGTGATCCACAGACCGAGTCCTCTGGCAGAGGAGCTGATGAGACACTGAGTGTGGACAGGGGCAGAGGAGCCACTGGTGTGGCTGGAGCACGGGGCGTGAGGGCAGGTGGGGGTCTGTAGGAGAGGCAGATGGGAACCGGTGCTGCAAGGGCGTCAGAGCTCACCACCTTGAAGATGAGCCATTACAGGGTTTTAAGGACAAAAATGGCAATTTTATATTTGTATTTTAAAGATAACTTTGGATGATGTCTGAGAGCAGGCTGAGATAAGCAAAGGAGAGACTGGTCGAGATGATGACGCTGGTGGGAAGGGGAGGAAGAGAGGCGTTCAGGCGGAGAGCGGCGATGGAGGTAGGCGGGACTTCTCTGGAGACGCAGTGGAGACCACTGGCGCCCAGACGCTCACCAGCCTTCCAGTCTTTACACACAGGCTCCAGCCCTGCAAGGACCATTTCTATCCTTATTTGTGACAATCAAGTAAGAGAAAATAGTATTTTATTGTTTTAAGGTGCATTTTCTTAATCCTAAGTTTCATGTCCTTTCTTACGTCCATTTCCTGTTTGCATCTATTCTCTCTCGAGCCCACCATTCTAACATTGCTTGCTGTATTTTCTTTTTCTTCTTTTAAAGACTTATTTATTTGTAAGGCAGAGTAGAGAGAAAGAGAGAGAGAGAGAGAGATATGAAGCCAGGAGCCAGGAGCTTCCCCCAGGTCTCCCACGTGGGTGGCAGGGGCCCCAGCACTTTGGCCATCCTCCAGTGCTCTCCCAGGTGCACTACCAGGGAGCTGTATCAGAAGTGGAGCAGCCAGGACTCAAACCGGCAACCATATGGGATGCTGGTGCCGCAGGTGGCAGCTTTACCTGCTATGCCAAGTGCTGGCTTCGCTCGATATTCTTTTATTGTATACAGTTAAGGTGTACATGATTTTTTGATATCTATCTCTCTATCCATCCATGCAATGAAATGATTACTTCAAACAGATGAACGTACCCATCTCCTCATGTGGTTACTGTGTGTGTGTGCGTGTGTGTGTGTGTAACAGCACCTGAAATCGACTTTCCTGGCAAATTTCCAGTGCACATACAATATTTTTAATTAAGTCATTATGCTGCATAATAATCTCTAGACTTACTTGTTTTCTTGCTGTTAAGCTGTTTGTGTTCCTTACATATTTTTGGACATTAACTCCTTATCAGATATATGGTCTGTAAATGTTTTCTCCTAGTCTGTACACTGCCTCTTCATTTTCTAAGTTGTTTGTTCCTCTGTGCACACGCCTTTTCGTGTGATGCCATCCCACTCATTTATGTTTGCTTTTACTACCCGGGCTTCATGTGTGATACCCACAAATTCATTGCTAAAGCCGATGTCAAGGACCTTTTCTCCTATGCTTTCTTCTAGGAATTTTATGGTTTCAGGTCTTATACGTCTTTACTCCATTTAGACTCCTTTTTATGCGTAGGTAAGGTAAGATTGCAATTTCATTCTGTTGCAGGTGGATATGCAATTCTCCCAACACCATCTGCTGAGGAGACTCCGCCTTCCCTTGTGGGAGAGGAGGACCTGCCTCTCCAAGCTATGAAGGGCTTTTGAGCTGAAGACCACGAAGGAAAAGCAGATTCAGGAACACTCTCTGCCCTACCTCCATCTGCCTAAAAGCAGACGTGGGTTTGTAAAGACAAAACGATGTGTGCTGTTCTCTACCTGGCAGATCAAAAGTTAACAACTGAGGATTTTTTAGACCCTGCATGAACAAGCTTCACTGGTTAACTTTGTCTGCTGTTATCTTCCTTTCTTGTGTGTCACCCAGAAAAACTCAAAGCCTTCTGCTTTGTCTCGTTACTTCTCTAAAAACTGACTATTCCTTGTTGAAGATAATATATGAGTTGGAACCCAATGCCACATCATTATCTTAGGGTCTCTCTCATTCCTGGTCCTCTTGTTGAAAATCAGTTGGCTGCATATGCCTGTGCTCCTGTCTGGGCTCTATTCTATTCCATTGGCTTCTAAGCCTGTTTTTTTAACCAGTACTGCACTGTTTTGTTTACTACAACTTTGTACTATACTTTGAAATCAACAAGTGTGATGTCTCCAATTTTTTCATCTCTCATTTAGCTAATGACATGCATTGAACTGATTGTTCTCATATGTTAAAGCAATATTTTAAAAAATTTATTTATGTATTTACTTATTTTAAAGGCAGAGCAACAGAAAGATAAATGAGTGAGAGTGAGTGAGAGAGAGATAGAGAGACAGTGAGAGAGACAGAGGGAGATGGGCATTCCATGTGTTGGTTTACTCCCTTAATGCTGGCAACAGTCAGGGCTGAGTCAGGCCAAAGCCAGGAGCCCAGAATTCCATCTGGGTCATGCAAAAGAGTTAAGAAGAACATGGTGCGGAATGTTCTCGACATGTCTATCACATCCCTTCAGTCCATAGTGTTGATTAGGAACACTGTTTGTTTACTGATTTTCTGCCTAGACGTTCTATCCTCTCTTGAAAGGAGGGTAATGACATCTACTGTTACTGCATTGATGTCTATATCTCTCTTCAGATCTTCCATTCTTTGTTTTATATTCTAAGGTGCCCTGATGTTGGAGTTTAAAGATATATAGGTATTTTAATCTCTTATGAACCTTTTTATTATTCTTACTGAATTTCATGATTTCCATTGAGTTAACCCTTTTATAACTATGTAATGATTTTTGCTGATCTAGATAGTTTTTGGCTTAAAGTTGTCAGATGTAAGGGTGGCCATTCCTGTTCTGATTTGTTTGCAAGGAAGATCTTTTCCTATCCCTTCACTTTCTGTCTATGTGTGTCCTTGGATCTAAAGTGGGTTTCTGGGGGCTGGTGCCATGGCTCACTTGGCTAATCCTCCACCTGTGCTACTGGCACCCCATATGGGTGTGGGTTCTAGTCCCGGCTGCTCCTCTTCCAGTCCAGCTCTCTGCTGTGGCACGGGAGGGCAGTGGAGGATAGCCCAAGTGCTTGGGCTCCTGCACCCACGTGGGAGACCAGGAGGAAGCACCTGGGTCCTGGCTTCAGATTGGCACAATGCCAGCTGTAGCGGCCATTTGGGGGGTGAACCAATGAAAGGAAGACCTTTCTCTCCGTCTCTCTCTCTCACTGTCTAACTCTATCTGTCCAATAAAAAAATAAAGTGGGTTTCTTTTAGGTAGCATACAGTTGGATCTTGTTATTTTCTAATCCATTTAGCCACTATATATCTTTTTATTGGGGGGATTTTGTTCATTCACATCTAAAGTAATTATTGGTAGAAAATGATTTACTACTGCTGTTTGGCTGACTATCTTCTGTTCCTTTGTCCATCTTTTTTTATCCCTTGCTCTTTTGTATTTCATTGTGCACGTGTGCTTGTATTGACAGCTTCCAGTTCCTCTTGTTTCTGTGTGTGTAACTTCTAAAGATATTTTCTTTATGGTGGTTAAGGGATTATATAAAATATAAAATATATTATAGTCACTACAATTTATATTAAGCTGATAACTTCACTTGCAAACAAAAACTCACTGCTTTTACGACTGCTCTTCCCACATCATACATGCTTATTGTCCCAATGTGTATCTGGTTATATTACATATCCATCAACATACCTGAGTTGTAGCTGTTTTTAATATCTTGACATTTTAATTTTTATTGGTTTCTGGAGATTTATTTTGTTCTTTTGTTTGGAACAAATTTCTCTGTCATTTTCCTTGACTCTTATTAAAATTATGTGTTTGTTTACTTGAGAGACAGTGAGAAAGAGACAGAGGAAGAGGCAGAGAGAAATAACTCTCACTCCTGGTTCATTTCCCAAATGCCTTCAATGACCGGGCTGGGCTGGCACTAGAGCTGGGGTCTGGGAACACAACCAAGCCGCCCGTAGTGGTGGCAGGAATCCAGTCACTAGAGCCATCATTGCTGTTTCCCAGGTATTGCACTCAAGGACACAATGTCCAGTACTCTGATAGGGCATGCAAGAGTGTTAACACTAGGCCAAATGCCTGCCCTCATTTCTGCTTTTTAAAAGAGGAAATCTGTCTATATCCCTCAGAAATGAAATAAGAACAATCTGGGTGTCCCAAGGACTCTCCTGTCTGTCCACTGATCAGTGTGAGTTGCTTTCCAGTGCTATGAATCATAATATCTGCACTGGACCTGTGATCAAATCTTTTATCCATAAGCAATGCTATGAAAACTATGGTCAAGGTAAGACCTACTGTTGTACCTGAGCGAGTGCAAACAAAGGAGCACCACAGATTGATAAAATCAGATGGTCCTTTATTGCCAGTAGTGGAGAGTGGGCTCATGCCCTAAAGAGCTCTCGACCCTGAAGCCCAAAGCAACAGGGTTTATAAAGGCAAAAACCATAAAATTGGGAAGGGAATTCATGGTTGCTAGGAACAGGGGGGAAAACATGGTTACTGGGGTCAAGCTGACCTAGAACCTATGCGAAACTAGTATCAATTATAATCTTGACAATACCAGTTACAATCTCAACAATTCCAATTATAATCTTGACATTAATCCAGGTATTGGTTTTAATCATATGTAGGACATAGACAAATTACATTTTTATCATTAACCCAGGTGCAGCCTACCCACTTCCAAGCTTGAGCGATCATGCTGGGGGGTTTCTGTGCTCTGCCAAGTGTGATGTAGTGGACTGCTACTGTTCAACTGTTTTAGATCATAGTTTCAGACCAGAGTCTCATGGTGTGTGTGTGTGGGGGGGCACTTTCCCAGAATGGAGTCTCCGGTTCTCCAAAATGGAGTCCCTACTGTCAAGGTGTCACTTCACTACAGATGGGGAAGAATGACACCTGGACTTCTCCATGTCAAACGTGATGTGACACAGACTCTATGGAGAAGAGGTCAGAGCATCTGTAAACATGGGTGATGCCCCCCAGGAAGGGATGGCAGAAGATGACTCAGGAGGAAAGAGCAGACGAAGTGAGAGTCGACACATTCAGCTTGGACTATGCAGCCAGCGTCTGAACCAGGACGATACACAGAAAGGAAGACACACAAGATGTGCTTCAGGAAGAGTTCATGAGATGAATGCTAACCCAGCAGGAAAAGGAAATGATTTTTCCATTGAACTTGGAAAACATCATTACCTAATTTAACAACTGCTTACTTATTAGGATAAAACACAACAAGGAAGCAGTGGAGTATAAAAAGGGACCTGGGACAAAGAGATGTCCAGATTCAAGACATACCCTCTTTTGGAAACCTACCCAGAACCTCCATCCTCTGACACCATGGTCAACTCCTGTTGTGGCTCCGTCTGCTCTGAGCAGGGCTGTGGCCAAGACTTCTGCCAGGAGGAGTCCTGCTGCTGCCCCAGCTGCTGCCAGCCCACCTGCTGCCAGCGTACCTGCTGCATCTCCAGCTGCTGCAGGCCCCAGTGCTGCCAGCCCACCTGCTGCAGGCCCACCTGCTGCATCTCCAGCTGCTGCAGGCCCCAGTGCTGCCAGTCCCAGTGCTGCCAGCCCACCTGCTGCCGCCCCACCTGCTGCATCTCCAGCTGCTGCAGGCCCCAGTGCTGCCAGTCTGTGTGCTGCCAGCCCACCTGCTGCCAGCCCACCTGCTGCATCTCTAGCTGCTGCAGGCCCCAGTGCTGCCAGCCCACCTGCTGCCAGCCCACTTGCTGCATCTCCAGCTGCTGCAGGCCCCAGTGCTGCCAGCCCTCCTGCTGCAGGCCCACCTGCTGCATCTCCAGCTGCTGCAGGCCCCAGTGCTGCCAGTCCCAGTGCTGCCATCCCACCTGCTGCAGACCCACCTGCTGCATCTCCAGCTGCTGCAGGCCCCAGTGCTGCCAGTCTGTGTGCTGCCAGCCCACCTGCTGCAGGCCCACCTGCTGCATCTCCAGCTGCTGCCGCCCCAGCTGCTGTCAGACCACCTGCTGCCGTCCCTCCTGCTTGCAGACCACCTGCTGCAGAACCACCTGCTGCCGCCCCAGCTGCTGCAGCAGTTCTTGCTGCTGAGTGTCCTGGTGTGGGTCCCTGAGCTTTCTTGACCCCATCCTCTCAGTCCAGACAGAGAGCATTTACTCAACAGAGCATGTCCTTACAAAGAGACCCATGGAGAGATGTGGAAAACCTGGTCTCTGTGTTATTATTAATGTACTTCTGAAGAAACATTTTGTTATTAGTGAGCCAGACCTTACCACCACATTTTGCATCAAATTGTTTTAGAATTCCTAATTCTGGTTCAAAATATAGGAGTCTTCAAATGTTCCATTTCTATATATTTTCTTTCTAATGTTTTTCTGTGGTATCCATTTTCATTTGAAATTTCTTGCTGTTCCCTAATAAAACTCTTATCAGTCAAAAGCACTAAAATTGCCCATCTCTCATTATTTCATATTCATGAAATGTCCTTTGCATGTTTCTGTCTCTTTCTGCACAACTCTGGAGGACATTATTCAGAGAACTCACAGTGGAAAAGCAACACTGCCATCACCCATGAGCTTTTCACCAAACTCACAGCAGGGTTAAAGAGAGCTTTCTTTGAATACAACACACACAACATGAGAGCCAGGGATGGCAACTGACGCCAAAAAAGCAAGTCCTCAATAAACCATGAAGACTTGAACCAATTCAGATAGAGGAAGCTCAGTATGGAAGAGAGTCCATGGACTTGGCAGTTAGAGTAGGGGCTGAATTCTGACTGCACCACAGGCAAACCACAATCTTGCACATGTTATTTAAACCATCTTATCATGTGATCCTTTCTTTAAACAAAGAACCACAGTACCTACCTAATAAGGTTGTCATAAAACATCAATGAAATAAAGGCACCCAGTAGACAAATAAAAGCACACTCTTTTCTACCTCTAGTTCGCCTTGCTTGCTTTCTTCCCTTTTGATTTAAGAATATGCATGGGTTCACAGGAAGTGGAAACAAAAGTACAGCAAGGTCCCATGTACCTTCCACCTAGTTACCCCCAGTGGTCATCTCATACATAATTGTAACAGTACATGTCAAATTCCAGAAATGGATGTTGGTACAATCCACAGAACTTGTTAAGATTTGACCAGTTTTATATGCATGTGTGTGTGTGTGTGTGTAGTTCTATGCACGTTTGTTGTGTGTAGATTTGTGTAACCACCATCACCATCAAGATGTAGAAGTTCCAACTCTGAAAGGCCCAGTCTCTCCCATTCATTATCTACAACCTCTGGCAACCACTAGTCTATTCCCCATCTCTACAATTTCACTTCAAGAATATTCTATGTATAGAAACTTATGTTATCTTTGGTTATTGGCTTATTACAGGCAGCATAATTTCCTTGATACCATCCAAGTTACTGACTGTATCAACAGTTCATTCCTTTTTATTGCTGAGTAGTATTCCATGATATGGATGCACAATTTGGTTTGTTCAATCATTCACCTGTTGAAATGTATCTTGACTGTTTCAAGTTCTTATTTGAAGAAATGCATCATGGCTTCTTACTGGTGAATGAAATTTGCCAAATTTTCCTTTGTAAGACATTCTGTCTTGTAGTAATATTCTTGGATTTAATCCATTTATCTTTATTTCCTTTCACTTTCAGAATTTCACAACTTCCAGAATAGACCCATCTATCTTCTCTCTGGACTTACGAGTTCCATGATCTCAGTCTTTTCTGGCAAGAGTATCACTCTTCTCTTCTGAAAATCTAAACTCCACTCTCATTGCATAATCAACAGCTTACCTCTCAGTTAACTTTGGAGAGGCAGGCAAACTCAAAACAGGGAAAATAAGTTGCAGAAGTGTGTGAGGGCATGGTGTGCTTATTTCTGCGACCTCATCATGTCTAACACTTAGGGGACATTGAAGGATTTAGACCTTAGCCTGGGGATACAGTTGTGAGGAAAAACAATTTTTCTGGAATTCTGTATCACTTTAATTGTATTTTGGGTAATTTTAATTGTACCTTTTTTTTGGATGAGCACAAAGGGACAATTATATCTATTGAAAATGAATACCCTTAAAATGTGATCTTACACAGCTAAATATAAGAATAATTATAAATTCTAAAAGATGAGCCTAATCATAATTAAGAGGAACAAAGGAAAGCAATGAGTAGTAAAGTAGGAGGGAGTTGAAACAACAGTTGTTGGCTTACAGATTTATAGAACTGTAAATCACATCTCAGACCCCGCACTCAGTGGCTTAGGCAGCAAGGTTTGCCACCAAAGAGTCCAGAAACATAACTAAAAGTCTATAGGAATTTATAAGACAAAAGTTCTTGTTTAAAGTCAGTATGGAAAAGAAGGTCTACTTTTCAAATGGTGTAGAACTGCTAACTGCTGGCTTGCTTCAGTAATAAACAAAGAAAGCCACCAAAACCATCCTTTCCCCAGAACACAAAGTCTCCCAGAGATATTTTCAAGATTTATTTATTTGAAGGGAAGAGTGAGAGAGGAGAGAAAAAAAGGGGGGGCAGGAAGGAGGGAGGGAGGAGAGAAGATGTTCTACCCACTAGTTTACTTTCGCAACGACTGCAACACCCAGGGCTGGGCCAGGCTGAAGCCAGGAGCCCAGGAACTCCATCTGTGTCCCCCATGTGGGTTGCAGGAGCTCAAGTACTTGAGCCCTCCATCCACTACTGCCCAGGCCCGTCAGCAGAAAGCTGAATCAGCAGTGTGGATCAGCTGGGAATGGAGCTGGAACTCTTGACTTGGCATGCGGGCATCCCAAGTAGTGGCTTAACCACCTGCTGTGCCACAACACCCACCCCTCTTTGCAATCTTGCAGCAGTTCCCATTTGCCACAACAGGGACCCTCAGATTTTCCCTGACAGCAACTGGAAAACTGCCTGTGACCGAGGGAAAGACTTAGGACCCCATCAAACGCTGTGTCTGGGGCCATCCAAGTCAGCACACCTTGCTCCAAGCAGGGGACGGAGCCCGGGTTGTTACCTGGTTGTGCAAACCTGCAAATGGGGGCCAGGCAGCAGATACTGGCCAGGAACCAAAATCATCCCAAGAACATCCTAGGTCAATTGATCAGGCTTGTTCATGTCTGCAGACAGAGAAGGAGTCTCAGGATCATTTCTCCCGTTCCCTTTGGCTCTGGAGTCTTCCCCAGCATCAGCAGCTTCCACCTGAGCCCTCCCCGACTGCTAAGGAGGTGGCCATTTCCATAGCCTGTCTTCGCAGTGGTGAGTCACCCTTTGTCCACTTCTACACCAGCCTGACGCAGCCCTTGGGGACAAGTCCAGTGTCACACAGAGCCCCTTCCTGCAGCCCTGCCACTGCTTTGCTTCGGTTTTCTCTCCTTTAGGCTAAATTTCCCAAGTTTTCTTCACCTGCTCTTATTGATTGTGATGTCACCATCATAGCAACTTTTTTCCTAAACTCTAATTTCTCTCCACCCTTAGTCCATAGCCCAGAATTAAGTGCATTTTTCCAGATGTGTTCTGAATGTTCAGACAAGAGAATTGCTGCCCCTTCCTAAACAGGTAACACATCTTAGAAATGTGCTAGCGCTTGCACACAGAGGCTAACAAGGTTCAATCGCGGGATTTGGTTGGCAGGAAGTGGGGACTAATTCTGAGGTTAATACAGTGTGAAGCCCCTAAGTCCTTTTCATTGCAAACTGCTTCAGTCTCTTCTTGCAGACACACAGTGGCTGCTTCATGACCAGCAGGTCTCAGTCTGATTTTCCACTCACTGCCAGGGGTAACGAGCTCATTCTAACAATGGTGTACCTGACGTCAAGTGCCGAGGGTGGACTCAGCCTTAGGGTGTGTAGGTAGTTTCAATAAATTCTCCCGAGAAATTTAGATATATTCGTTCCTCCCCAGTCACATGCTCCCTGTTACATGAGTAACTGTTCTGATTTCAGATGCCTCGGATATTTCCTCTCGTTGGGTTTGGTCTCTCGTGCAAACATGTCCAAGGCATTTGGAGCCATGATTCTACCATGAAGCACGATCACTCTTCACTAACGTCATGATCCCTAATATTTTGATGAACATCTGTTACGTGAATACTATTAACCATGTTGAGAGGATCATAGCTCTGCCCAGAGAGACTAGTTCAAGACAGGAATTGCTGATCCAAGGCCATGCTAGTGTGGAAAGAGGCACATATTTGGAAGAGAAGGCACAAAGACAGGATTTCCTCTTCTTATTCTCTGGATTTCTTTGAGCCCCAGAAGTCAGAAGTGGCAACATTCCTCATTTTTCAACCAGTAGTCAGCTAGCTATTAGACATTTCTATAACATCTGAGCTTTTGCTCCATCTTT